GGTACGTTCTCCCCATCCACGCGCCCAATTGCGACACGAAACTGACATGTCATGATAGAACGGCGAGGAGAAGTGGCGATACTTCAAGATGCTCTGCGATCTAGGCTACAAAGAGATTGAGGTCTCTTTCCCTTCTGCCTCCCAAACCGACTTCGACTTTACCCAGCGCCTGATCCAGACCCCAGGAGCTGTCCCCGACGACGTCTTCCTACAAGTCCTGTCTCCCTGCCGACCCGACCTCATTCGCAGAACCGTCGAGTCTGTCCGCGGAGCTAAGAACGCCATCATTCACATCTACCTTGCTACAAGCGCATGCTTCCGTCAAGTAGTCTTTGGATACACTGAGGAGCAGACCCTGGAGCTTGCTGTAGAGTGCACCAAGCTGGTCAGATCTCTGACAAAGGATAACCCCGAGGCTTCTGGCACCAACTGGCAATTCGAGTTCTCTCCCGAGTGCTTCTCAGACACAGACCCTGACTACGCTGTGAGAGTCTGCCAGGCTGTCAAGGCTGCTTGGGGACCTGACGCGACCAAGGGCGACCAAATCATCCTGAACCTCCCCGCCACAGTAGAGCTGGCGACACCCAACATCTACGCCGATCTGATCGAATACTTCTGCAACAACATCGGCGACAGGCAGGATGTCTGTATCTCTCTGCATCCCCACAACGACCGTGGATGCAGTATTGCTGCTGCTGAGCTTGCCCAAATGGCCGGCGCTGACCGAGTAGAGGGTTGTCTGTTCGGTAACGGCGAGCGAACCGGAAATGTCGATCTCGTCACTCTGGCTCTTAACCTGTACACACAAGGTGTCAGCCCTAACATTGACTTCTCCGACCTGAACTCAGTCATCGACATGGTCGAGTCATGCACCAAGATCCCTGTCCACCAACGTGCTCCTTATGGTGGCAGCCTGGTATGCGCTGCTTTCTCCGGCAGCCACCAAGATGCCATCAAGAAGGGATTCCAGGACCGCAAGGCCAAGGGTCTGGGCCACGAGGACCCCTGGAACGGCATGCCCTACCTGCCCCTGGACCCCCGAGATATCGGCCGCAACTACGAGGCCATCATCCGTGTCAACTCTCAGTCTGGAAAGGGAGGAAGCGCTTTCATCGTGCACACCAAGCTCCAGCTTGATCTGCCCCGTGGTCTCCAAGTCGCCTTCTCCAAGGTCGTCCAGAAGAAGAGCGAGGAGGTCGGACGCGAGCTGCTGGCCAATGAGATCACCTCTCTGTTCGAGAACACATACTTCCTCAACAACAACCCTCATTTCAGCCTGGTGGACTACAGCATCACCCCTGACCGATCACGGTCTCCTGCCCCCGCCGCCCACGGCAGGACTCAAGACACCAAGGACTTTATCCGTATCTTTGAGGGTGTCCTGCTGGTGAACGGTAAGGAACTAAAGCTGCGTGGCCGTGGTAACGGACCTATTTCCAGCATGGTTTCTGCCCTCAAGGAGCTTAACATCGAGTTTGATGTCAATGACTACAAGGAGCACGCCATTGGCGAAGGACGCGGTGTCAAGGCTGCCTCATACATCGAGTGCAAGCCCGTTGGCAGCAAGCAGTCAGTATGGGGTGTTGGCATCCACGAGGATGTGGTACAGAGTTCTCTGATTGCTCTCCTGAGCGCAGCCAGCAACGCAAGTCTTCACCGATCTCTCTCAGTGGAACTATGACTAACATAACATGTAGTTCGTCACCAGCAGACCCGCCAGCCCCGTTCAGAAGGCCACTGATGCTCCTGCTCCTCAAGAGACCCCTAGTGTGGTGTCTATTCTGGAGGAGAAGGTCAATGGCATGTAAAGGGAATGAAACGGAGGAAAGAAAATGAAAAGGGGGCATGGCTCTCGATTTGCCGCAAACCGCTTGGCATTTTTGTACAGTTAGTTCATGTTGTTCATATGAATGAGGGGGTGCGGGTGCTGAAAAGCTTTGTCATCTTGAGGAGTTAGTCAAAAAATTGAAGATAATTGACTTGATCAAGATTCGATTTCATTGTGACCGAGAGCATTGCATCGTGTTTCTCTTCCTGGTTTCCTCTTCCGTACCCTGATTTGAATCCTGCACCGTGCTTCATCGTCATATGTCTTCAATTCAATCGTGCTTGGTAATCTCCAAAGACTTCTCAAACGTAAGTAAGCTGCTGAATGACGGCGGCTCATGTCACGTTACAGCGAAAGCCCAGTTGTGTCTCGAATGGCCATCGGGAATCTTTACCCATTGTGCTAAAGGGGCTGAAACAAGTGACGATGCCCTCCACCTCTTGAACACAACCGTCACCATGGACAGCCAACTTCAGAGGTAGTGGACCAATATAATGAATTGAACACCCTCTAGAATCAGAACAGAGTTGTCATCTCGATCGGGAAGATCAAGATCATCATCCATCGCTGTATCCAAACGGCCGAAAACCATCAACTCTTCTTTACTGTTAGTAGTAGCTGATCCAGAACCTGTCTCAAACACTCATCAGCTCTAACAACAAGATTCCAAGCAAGCCTATCAAGACAAGAGAGGCTTGACTTACCGCTGAGAATGTGTTGGAAATGTCAATCTCACTATAATAGGGTTTAGGTTAAGACCCAGATCTACGAGACATGAGCTTATTCAGGCCATTGGAATGCCAACCGGTGATTAGAAAGTTGAAGCATAACGTCTCAATAGACTCTAATTTATCAGGACTAAGAAAAACTGACATCGGTACTGTTCATCGAGTTGATCGAGCTTATGGTGTGGTCACTCCGAGACGGCTGAAAAGGAACCCACCCCTTTAATGTGTACACATGATCAGCTTGACGCAAGGAGATATAGCATAGATGCAACTTCTCTTGGCAGACAGCACGGGGACTTTGGATCGTCATTCAAACAATTTTTCTCGACCGATGCGTGGTCCTCGTTGATGAACTAGATACATTGGAGTTGCGGCCTGAAGATTACCTACAAGTCTCCTGCGGAGTTTCAGCTCACTTTGATAGACAGTGCCCGTTCAATAATGTAGTCAATGAATGGTCAGTGCTTGTGAAGTCAATACAGCTGACAGATCAGAGTAACTTGGAGTGACTAAGTACTGACGTACATATGCCAGCACGCAGTACAACTCAACTCTTGGTCCAGGCTAAGTCGATATGCACTACCAAGACACGAACTCAGCCCGACTCTGCGAAATAACAGTAGGACGAATTATCATGGTTATCATACAAATGTTGCAGAAGGTCAAGCTACGTAGATTGGATGAGTTACGAGCGCCAGACCTCAAGCTTCTGGTCATTACTGAATAGGGACTATGTCTGCCCTGCATGAGCCTACAGTTCACAGGTTATGTAGTCTCAAAAAGGGATATCGCCCATCCGTATATTAATTACGGATCTTCAGATGTGGCAGATGCAGCCAACATGTATGAAGCCTAGACTCCACATCCCATCTGGATCTCACCCAACTATCGATCACAAGACGAAGCTGAACACCCTCAAACTTATCTCCGAAATCTTACAGCTTGGCTACTTGGATCTGAATTTTCCCAGATCTATTGGAGTGAGAGAATTGTCTTAGAAATGACCAAGATGTTGTATGTAAGTCAGACTTTCCAGCCGTGGCCTAGAACGCACTGCGCCATGAAGCTGCAGTTTGTTCTGGTCCAGATCTGTGATGCAACACGTTCCATAAGCAGTGAAACCACCGCGAACATGGCTTATATGTGAGACAATGGATAGTTCCGGAATATTTCCCGGCTATCAAATAACGGCAAAGTGACGGTTGTCTTAGACACACAGGCAGCCTTCACGACAACTCGAAAGCCGACTGGTTCTTTTAACCCTGCCTTTACAGGTGGCATCAGGGTAACCATCACATGTCTCGAGCTGCAGCAGTAATCACAATCAGATATCCGATTTGCGATCTTGTGCAGCGCCAAGATTATATAGGTTCCCCAAGTTTCGAGACCTTGGAGATCATTGTGTTTATTAGCTAAGTGGCTGAAAGAGCATGACCTAACATCTTTGCTCCGAGACACCAAGCGGAGGATTGAGCTTTTTGATCGAGGCGGCTGAACTTATGTTTAGAACCCTGTTGTTAATTTGAGAAACCCCGAGTTCAGTCTAAATAAGCCAATTCTCTGCATATAGACATTAGTGCCGGGAGAAAGACACGGCACGTCTTGAACTAACCCCAGGAACCAAGATAGTGCCGGGGCACTTTTGTAATAGGCTTTCCCAACCTCAGACATTCAAGCCCAAGTCACCTCGTCTGCTGCTTGATCAAAAAAATGCCCGACTATCACCGTTGTCTCAAGCAAGGAGAAATTCCTCCTCTCTCAATGGCCGCCTCCCGACAAACTCAAAAGATGAGACACGATCGACCGTTCCAGACGTCAAGTTGACTCTCACCAATATGCGTGTTTCTTTCAAAAGGGTAGCACCGCATGCACATCCGGGCGAGTGCTTTCTAGCAACGGCCCGGCGGCAACGGCGTGGTCCGAGACTGCAGTAGGTCTAGACTCCGGAGGAAACTGTCAAAGTTGACTCTGGGGTGCTGGAATGGGGTCCAGTCTAGAGCTGCGATGTGTGTCTGGGCTTTGGAATGTAGCTCGGGAGGGTTGCCCAAAACCTGTTAGGTAGGACTCGATGAGCTGTGGGTGATGGTTGTTGAGATCGAGGGTGGCGATTTGATTGATGATACCATCGACTTCTGCCACTCGGTCAGATAGATCTCGGCGTCTCGGTAAAAATGACACATTAGCTTTGTTCCCTTGCAGGCCGAATAGACTCTTGTCCAATATCAACTCTCAATAAATAAGCCATTTAATGCATACTTTCATTATAAGTTAACCATTCCGTATGCGTATTAGCATATAACAAGACTGCTGTGTTGAAGTGAAGTCTATATAATTTGCTTGGTCTGGCACATGGAAATATCACCATTATCATCACTTCACTCACAACTCATCAACTCATCACACACTCGAGACTTAACTTGCTTGTTTCAACTGCCACAATCAACATGAAGTTTTTCAGCCTTCTTACTCTTGCTTCCTTCGTCACGGCCTCTCCTTTCCGCCGGCAACAACAAACCGTCACAGGAACCATCAAGTCCTCAGTCGACACTCTATCTAGCTCCACTACGGTAACTCTGAATCAGATCGGTAAGCCACTTCTTAAAAACAATTCAACTTTAACTATACTAACCAACTTCTGCAGATGATAATGTTGCCCTCATCAAGAACAACGTAGAGGCGCAGCTCGTCGCACAAATCCAAGCCGATCTCAAGGCCAATTATCAAGCCATCCTCCAGGGCCTGGCCGCTTCCACAACCACGATTGTCAGCGTCACTATAGGAGCAGCTGGTGGTGTTGCTGCCCAAGCCATTGGTCTCGCCAACCAACAAATCGCCACACTCACTGCCTCTATCCTCGTGGTTATCGACATCCTTGTGAACCTTGGGGCCACTATCACCATCACGGCCACAGACCTGACTCCTGCTCTGCGAGCTACTTTCCAGTCTGAGATCGACGCTGTCAAGGCTGCCATCAACCCCTTTGTTAGACCTGTTCTCCTCTTCGCGGCTGCTGTACGAGACGCGAATGTTGGCGGCAGTGCTACTATCACTGGCCTCGACAATGCCATTGTCAACCTCCTCAGAGTTCAAGGCGAGGTCGCGGCGTCCATCGGTATTCCTGCCCCTAGTCTCTAAGTTTGGACCCCCTTTTACGAATCAAGCTATGAGGACATTCTTTTACAAATGATGAAAGCAATATCAACCGTGCTTCTCACGACAAAAGCAATGGTGCTAGCGGTATAGCGAGCGATTACACTCCTTGATACTTACTTAATATAGTAATTTTGTTTATAAACTTTCTCAACCAATGAATTGTGATAATTTGTAATGTCCGGCCCTGAAAAGTGCGAGTGTTGGACGGATTCGTCAACCCCTTAGCGTCACGTAAACGTCAGGTTGCCGATCAGGGTTGCATAGATCTACAGGCACGTCCAGTCCCTTCAAACCTTATTGCAACATTCCTCATAAAGCGCCGAATCAGGCTAGACACTCCTCGAAAGAGGAAGATGAAGACGGATTGTGTATGTTCATGGATATAATTGACCTAAAACTACCTATACATCGCTGCCAATAAACTCCTCTAAACTTTTAGCTCATCTCCTCTTACCACCGCCTCGTCCCTTTCCCTTGGGTTTGCCAGGGGCGGCATCTTTGCCTCCCTCCTTAGCCGCCCGGCCCTTGGCCCTTGATTTGGCCTGTTCTTTATGTCGGGCCTTCATGTCAGCCTCTGACGACTTACCCTTCCTCCACTCTCCGCCACCCTCGGCACGTAGTTGCTTGTTGTCAAGGCGCTTCTTATCCTTGTTGCTTAGCTTGCCCGTCTTCTTCTTCATCGCCTCTCTCATGCCGTTGAGCTCATCTTTGCCGGCTTGCTTGGACTGCTTCTTGTCGTGTTCAGACTCGAACCATGTTCGCCTGGGTCGTCCCTTGATCTCAGCCTCATGCTGGATCAGGTTCTCACCCTTCTTGACTTGCATCTCGACATGGGCCAGCTGCTTCTCTTCCTTCTCTTCTTGCATGATCTCCTCAATTTCATCATCCATCTCGTCGATCTGGGCTTGAAGAGCATCAACCTCTGTAGCTTCAATCTGTCGGCTGACAATCTTGGCGCCCTGAGCCTTGCCGGCCTTCACAGCGGCCTTGACGACCTTGCGGTCATTCTCAGACGCTAGTGTCAAGGCAGTACCTTTGCGACCAGCACGGGCTGTTCGACCAACTCTGTGGACGTAGATTTCTAGCGATTGAGGCGCTTCGTAGTTGATGACGGTATCGACGCCCTTGATATCAAGACCACGGGAAGCAAGATCGGTGGCTAATAGGTACGCCACCTTGCCATCTCGGAAGTCCTCAACACTTGAGATACGCTAAATAGTGTTAGTGATGGTCATAGCTGCGAGACAGAATAAGACTAACCTGTGTTTGGTTCATGCTACCGTGAAGCTCAGCACATGAGAGACCGAGTAAACCAAAGATAATTCGAGCTCGATGGGCTTCCTTCTTTTGTCGGAAGAAGATAATGACTCGCTCCTTGTAGATGTTCTTGCAGACATGTGCCAGATAACCCATTCGCTTCTCCTCTCGGCCAGGGCGCAGGCGAACGAATTCTTGCACCAGTGTAGTAACAGTCTTCTTCTGAGAATCCACCATAACCCTAGCAGGTTTGTTAAGACCGACCTTGATAAGACGGTCGACAGTCGATGTCATGGTAGCGGAGAAGAGCATGGTTTGGCGTGACTTGGGGAGTGTTGTGAGAATTTCGTTGAGTTCGTCGGCGAAACCGTCCTCAAGCATACGATCAGCTTCATCAAGCACCATAATCTCAACAGTGTCAACGTTGAAGCTAGCAGAGTTTCGCATGTGATCAATGAAACGACCAGGAGTAGCAATAATGACATCTGGGCGTAACTTCAGCTCAACCTCCTGAGCCTTGAGACTCAGACCACCGACAGCAAGGGTGAACTTGATATCAGTGAAGGCAGCAAGCTTTGTGGCGACAGCGTGACATTGGATAGCCAATTCACGAGTAGGAGTAAGAACAACGACGCGAGTGGTGGGAATCTTCTTGGGTCGGTATAGCAAACGCTCCAGGATAGGGACGATAAAGGCACCAGTCTTTCCGGAGCCAGTGACAGCACCACCGACAAGATCTTTGCCCATAAGCGCAATAGGAATTGCCTTGGCTTGAATGGGCGTAGGCTTGGAGAAGCCTACTGTAGCAAGACCACGGAGAATTGGACGTGACAGAGACATGGCCTGGAAAGACGAGGCATTCTTCTTGCCAGATGCCTCCTCTTCCTCCGGGGCGAAGAAAGCCTTTCGCTTTGCTTCCTCCTCAGCGTCCTCCTCATCGTCGCTATCGTCGGAAGCATCGTCATCTGGGTGACCTGTGGGAGTAGCGACAGAGTCGTTGTCTGATGCAGCATCATCGTCTTCCTCGTCGTCTTCCTCATCCTTGTCTTCCTCTCCAGATTCATCCTCATCATCTTCGTCCTTCTCGTCACCAGATTCCTCAACATCAGAAGCAACGTTCATACCGAATGCGTCGTCTGCGAGAACCTCGTCATCATCGTCGTCCAGATCAACATCCATGGCTTCGTTTTCTTCGGCACCGGCAGTCTCCTCGGGGTCAGATTTGCCAAGCTTCTTTTCGCGACGCCTTCGAATAATCTCATCCAGATCCACGCCCTTCTTCTCAACGGCCATGCCCTTCTTTGCGCCATCGAAACCCCATCCCTCGAATTCTACTGTACCAAGGTCGGCAGCTTCCTCAGCGCCAAACTCGAATTCGGAGTCCATAGCACCATCGTCGTCATCGTTGAATCCCCAAATACCCTCTACACCATTCTCCTCCTCGTCATCTTCAGGACTGGCTGCACGCTTTGACTTCTTTGATTTTTTGCTGGTCTTGGCCTTCTTCTTGGGAGGTTCCACGGTCACTTCCTCCTCCTCGACAGGAATATCGTCATTGTCGTCAATTGTAAAGATAAAATCGTCTTGCGCAGGTTTTCGCTTCTGTGAGGGCGCCATCTTGTCGGATTAAAAGGCACTCGTACAGCTCTTCTATCAAGATTTGCAGACGCGACAGAAGCAGTGGGGCTCCTTTCGCAGTAAATCTCGAACTTTTTTTTCTGCCGCTTTTCGAAATTTTGGCGGTGAGAGCTTGCTACTTTCCTAAGCGTCGATGGGCGGCTCGACACGACACGTGACTCCACTGGCTGGAGCAAGCTCTAGGGGATGTAGCGGGGGGTAGGAGGGGTTCTAGCGTTGCGGTACGTGGCGGTACCTTCTGTGCCAAACACAATCAGCAATAACACAGCGGATGCGCTGGTCCCTCTGGGTACCCCCCACCAACGACCTGTTGGTTGATTGGGCGACAGGCTACCCATGAACAACTTCGTGGAATCAGCGCGAGGACGGTTGCTTTTAATTTCTCCCCAACTTAACCCGACGAACGCAATCTCCTTAGCTTCCCTTTTGCGCCCTCGTTCAGTTTGTTTTCTTTTCTCGACTCGATATCCTCTAGAAACGAACGCCTTTCGCCCTTCTCCTACGTCGCTTGTTTGCGCTCTCACGAATCCGAATAATACACCACACCCTACAACAAACAACCAATCAGTTCAAAATGGGCGAGTCGAGGTTGGTGATGCCATCTGGAGCTGTTTACAAGACACCTCCAAATATTGTTTACATACTAATACATAATGCTACAGACAAGAGCTTGTTGCATGGCTCAACAGCCTCCTTCAGCTTAACATTACGAAGGTTGAGCAATGCGGTACTGGGTGAGTCCATCCATCTTTTGTTTGCCCCGCCCCCTCGTCACGGATCGCTGCGTCGTGTTGCACCATGCCATGATCGAAGCAAGGGATCGTAAACAACACCAAACAACCCCGCGATCGCTATCACGACCACTACCAGGGAGCCTCACACGTCAATCCCGATATATCAGCCACCACACAAGCACGCATCATCGTCTGCATGATGACACTTTCTAACACCGCCTTTCTAGTGCTGCCCTCTGCCAGGTCTTTGACAGTATCTACATGGACGTCCCCATGTCAAAGGTCAAGTTCAATGTGAACTCTGAATACTTGTATATTCAAAATTTCAAGGTCTTGCAAAGTCAGTCATTCGTTTTACACTCTTGCCAACGAACAACATGCTGACGTGTCTTTAGACACCTTTACCAAGCACCAAATTGACAAGCCTATTCCTGTCTCCGCACTTATCAAGTGCAAGATGCAGGACAACCTCGAGTTCCTCCAGTGGACAAAGCGATTTTGGGACCTCAACTTCCCCGACCACGAGTACGATGCCGTTGCCCGCCGAAAAGGTGGCTCAATGCCTCCCGCAGCCGCCGCACCCCGACCTGCTGCTAGCACTGGCGCCGCTCGCCGTGTGGGAAGCGGTACCCCCAGTGGTGGACCCCGAGTTGCAAAGGCCGCCGGACCCGCTACCGCAGCTCTTCAGCAAGAAAATGCCACATTGAAGGAGACCGTCACAGGCCTGGAGAGGGAACGAGACTTTTATTTCAGCAAACTGCGGGATATTGAGCTACTTGTTCAACAGGCCGTTGATGAGGACCCTGAGCTGGGGAAGCAAGAGGATGGTCTCGTGAAGCAGATCCAAACTATCCTTTACTCAACAGAGGAGGGATTCGAGATTCCTGCTGAGGGCGAGGGTCTCGATGACCAAGAGACTTTTTAGACTTGTTGATGACATCGAAGGCTGGAAGATGTACTTAACGCGACCACGATTTGGGCTGGGGTGACGCTGGTTTCTCTGGCACGAGTTAAACAGAGCATGGATATGGAGTTGTGACCCAAACCCTTTGGGAAGGGAGTTCGCTGAGCTGATGGAGGACAATGTTTGGCTCTAGAAGCGAAGGTTGTGTCTGTACTTGTTCTGAGACTCACATAGAGTACTCGAGAATGAGTGTAAAAATTGATCTTGTTGGACACTCGAGCTTGTGTCGCCGTGTTACGGGTAACGTTGTGGCCAGCAACTGGGAGCGGGACGAGCCGAGACCATGAAAGTCAAAGTCAAACTGGGGAAGTATAGAAACAAGCATGGCTGATCTGACTTGTTAGAGTAATGTGATGACTTTGTACATAAACTGTCGAGATACCCAAAGTAAACATTGTTTGGGCTGGAGTGAGATATACATGATATTCAAGCTGACAGTCTGTGGATTAATATGCTACTAGTATATTTTGAGCGCAAGGTGAACGATTGTCCCCAAGAGTTCCGCCCAATTCCAGATTGTCAGAGCTATAGAATCGTTTACAAAGGCGAAGAACACGCTGAAGCACAGGAGAGTTGCCCATCATCAAGCCAGACTCGTTATGTATGTCACCAGACCCTAGGAATATGCGATAAATGCAGGGTATTCCTGTAAGGCCATGATATGAATGAGATCAGTCTACCCACTTGTACAGGCTTCAAATTGTCTTTGCTCCTCCAAGTCTTATTATCATTAATGTAAGTTTCTCGGGTATTGCCACGACCATTCGATCTTGAGGTATGTTTATTGATGTAGTTTCACGATCTATACTGAACGGATCCGAGAGAACCCAAGTCTGTTTTCGCTGTTCTATCAAGGCCACCAAAGAGGGACCATCATATGAGATGTGATTTGGAACATGGGAACAATGGCAGGATGCCTGAAGCGACTTGATATGAAGCTATGAAGTGCTTCTTCAAGTGCAATGTTTCGTGATCAGAAATCCTATCACATCACCTACGATCAGGTATCTAACATCAGCATGATGGCAATTGACGATAAGTGCATGATTCGAAACGATGTTGGGTGTTATGTATGATTGTGCTGTATCAGTCGATCATGAGAGAATTGCTCATGTCAGATTACATTATCAAACAGTTTAGTTCAGATAGTTACAATCACAAAACTGGCATATACCGTTCGATTATTACTGATCGAAGCAGACAACAGCAGTAATAACTGATAGGTCTCAGCCATGGCCACTCAATGAAACAATATTGACTTACACAACTAACATATTTGCCATTCAATTTGTGACTACCAGAATATCAATGCTCTCTGCTCTGGAAGTAGACATGAATCAGCCGGAGCTACTTTAATATTCATCATCGTTACAAAAAATAACGATTGAAGGGTGCCAAAGAATATTGGCACGAAGATGGTGCTTATTCTAACTTACCTATGTTCAAGAGCAATTTGTTAAACCACATTGACCCTCTGCCATTTTTGGAGCATCCACAACTCTTTTGATGAATATCACGTAGACTAAAATCAGAGCTAAAGTCTTCTTCATCATTGCTATCACCATGATAGGTCATCATGAGTTCTCACATGACCAGGTTGCTCACATTGCATTGTAAGGCTCAAAGACCTTCACTTCAGATGTGGATCACTCTGGCAACAGGTCGCATGCGCAGCCAATTTAGTGCTGCCAATTGCCGAGCGCCGTGACCTTCACCGACGGTCAGCCACCAGCACTAACTAAAACACAGCCTGGGCCTGGGCATCCAATGCATAATAAGCTGTACGAATACGTCAGGCAGCTTCTTTTGATAGACGCCATGACCATGACGCATTTATCGTCTTTCATGTCTTAATTCACACAATCAACATTCGCCGTTCAACCACGTAACAGGCGAACATCAGTATCATTTTCTTTCATACATTTTATTTGAGTCGAGAACCACTCCACGGTACTGAGAATCATCACTACAACGAAGCGTCAATCAAGATGGCACCGCCGCCAGAAATTGCTATTCCTTCAACGAGCGTTTCCGACGAGGGCTCCAAGAAACCTTACACACTCTACAATATCACACTTCGACTACCTCTGCGCTCCTTTGTCGTTCAAAAGCGATACTCAGACTTCGATGCCCTCCATCAGGCTCTGACGCAACAAGTCGGAGCTCCGCCACCAGAACCACTACCAGCGAAACACTGGTTGAAGTCGACTGTCAACTCAGTCGAATTGACCCGAGACCGCCAGGCAGGACTCGAGAAATATCTACGAGCGATTGCGGAGTCGCCCGATCGACGATGGCGTGACACATCAGCTTGGAGAGCCTTCCTGAACCTGCCAAGCTCGAGCACCACCAACTCGGCGATTTCAGCGGGCGGCATGATTAAGAGTGCCGTCGCTGGTGCCGCTGATCCAGGAACATGGTTAGACATTCACCGAGACTTGAAGCAGAATCTTCACGAGGCTAGACAATGTCTGTCGCGGCGAGATGCTGCTGTTGATAACGGCAATTCAACGGCCGCCGCGGAAGCGGGGGCAGCGGCCAAAAGGGTTCTCGTCCGAAGTGGAACGTTGATCGCAACACTTGCGGACGGGCTACGAAAGATACAAGAGTCAAAACGACTGGGCGAGGGTGAGCTGCGGCGTCGCCGGGATCTGGTTTCCCAAGCCCGCATGGAACGCGAGGGCTTAGATAAGCTTTCCAACAGCATGCCCAATTCCACGTCAGCTTCAGGAAGAGGCGGCTTGAGTCAAGGCCAGGCCTCAGCAACCGACAAAGCTGGACTACTGAAGGGAGGTCGTCCGGCTGGTCGTGTCCTGGGTGCTCCTTTGCCGGAGACTGATAAGACCCGAGAATTGGGCAACGAAGGAGTACTGCAGCTACAGAAGGAAGAGATGCAAAACCAAGACCTCGCTGTTGAACAGCTCACTGCAGTCATTCGACGACAAAGAGAGATGGGCGAGCGAATCCATGAAGAGGTCGAAGATCAGATCCGTCTACTGGATGAACTGGACCAGGACACCGACCGCACAGGGGCCAAACTGAAGGTCGCAAACAACCGGATCAAGAAGATGTGACAGCTACCTCTCCTACTACTGGTAAAGCTGGTTCTATTTGTGGTACAAGTCGCCGTTTGGTGGCTTTGGATTCTAAGGGTATTATCTAATGGGCTATCATGGGTTGCAGACATTGCGACATTCCTGGTACAGAATCGATGGGGGAGCGTTTGATATGGGCATGCAAGGCGTCTTGTGTGGCTTTGGATTGAATTGGGGTTCTGATTTGTAGGGTGCTTTATATACCGAAGTGGTGCTTGTAAAGTAAAGTAATAATAGATTGACAGGCAATGAAGGCTGAATGCATCACCGTTGAGAGCACATGGAAGTTTACAGTACGCAGCATGTGAAGTGAAACCTTGTTCCTTGTCTACAGCAGATTATGTTGAGTTAGTGTCACCAGGACCCTTTCTCCACAGACAGCCGTGTGTCTCATCCTTGAAGCGCGAGTTTGTCTTAATCTCAAAGCCATTGTTTCTCATCACACACATCTCGTGGTTTTTGGTAGCAGTCAACCACATCACAACGCAGTATCACCGTCACAATGAAAACAAAAAGTCACAAAGCTTGCTTCATAAAGAGATGATCCGACTCGACGGGTAATCAAAACGGACAAGTCAAGCTCTCCCTGGCGCGCCGGACCGTTCCACGTTGCATGAGGATGGGCCTGGGTTGGGTTGCAGACGGTACAACAGAGGTACATTGTGGTGACTTGAGCCTGTCACTTCAGCCCACCTTACCAAAACGAACAGGGTGACAACCGTTGAGTGATAGTGATTGAGTGATGTCTGCAGCTCTACGAGATTAGCATCACATGAGAGAAACGAGTAAACAGAGAATATTATCATCTCCTTCCCCCTTCTTTGGTCTCTTCGCATGAATTGGCACAGTCTGAGATCTGACTTCAGGCTCAGACATACTGCGGAATAACTGAGACTCAGACCGTCCCGCCCGCCCTTTAGGCTCAATTTTTTAGTGGCGTAGCTACGTCACTAGCCGACGTCGTCACGAGCTTAGCGCGTTTTTCTTTTCTTTTTCCTGGGTTCAACAGTGTTGTATTTTGCTGATCTCTGGTTGCCAGGCAACGGCGAAATAAACGTGGTCAACTGAACGCTTTCGAGTCAGTCACCAATTGGTTGCACAAAAGGACTCGATTCGAACTGAACGAATTACATGTCATGATTGGAGCCACGCAGTGAATAATGCATCCCCTCGTAAAATTGATTACTTGCATTTAAAGTGGCTGGGAAATTATGTTTGAAGATACAGAGAGGGAAAATGAGGTGGGTGGTGGTGGATAGAGGGCCTCAGCGGTGAGGCGATGAACGGACAGCCACTCCTCTTTTGCTTGGCGCTGCGGAAGCTGCGGACATTTCACAATGCATTGTCCCTCTTTCACAAATCGCGAGAAGAAGCAGTGTACTTTGAGCACTGAGACCTTTCGTAACAGCTAATTTAGCCTCTGAAGAAGCAAACCCTCTGGGTTGCATCCAAGCGGCATGACGTCGGCAATTGGTCACCCCAAAGAGAGTTTGCCGGCTTCAGGGACGAAACTCTACTCCGTACTGTAGACTTTTTTACTGCCGCGGGAATCGGGGAAGTGGAAGTATATTTGTTGGCTTTACCACTTCCACAAGAATAAGCACCGCATCCATGGCATTGGTGCTGTACTGTAGTACCCAGTGGTACAATCTCTATGTAACCGTGGACAGGCAGTCGGCCAAAAAAAAAAAAAGAGGAGGCCGCGACATCGCATCTAAGCCGCAACAAGGGTATCGTGAGGCCTAGACCACCAATGCGGATATCAGTTACCTCAGCATTCAGAGCGGTGAAAATGCCGGCATTGCTAGCTTGAAGTCTCTTTGTTGCATTTTGTCGGTGACGATGTGCAAACTTTGCACATGTGGATTGACAGGCGTTATTGAAGCTTGGACTCTTTACCCACGAGCTGTGGAACTTGTATCAAGTGTCTAGTTGCCGATGCGGGAGATACCACGGATGTTGCTCGACGACAGATATCTGCTTTGAGGCGGGGGCTGCATACGAGATCCTGCAGTGATTTTTTGGTCAAAACATTGAGGCAAAACACGCATACAGTACATGCTGTGGGAAGAAAGGTGCACCACCGCTGCAGGACAAGAGAGTGATATCAATTGCAGCCCAATCGTTTCAAATCGTAGAGCTTGGATGCCTATCACGATACTGTTGCTGATGAGATCGACAGGCGGGGACAATCCCATTTGCTGCAGCGCGAATTGGCCACAGAGTTACGAAGGAGCCAGAGGCCAGATATCTTCAACTTCCCCTCTTTCTTGATCCTGGGCTCTCGCTTGTTCTACGTTCGAGCTCTGTTCTGTTCGTACCTTTGATCCACAGGGTCCAGTCAATGCTTCTCGTGAAAGCAAGCCACACGAGTTGCACAAGGAACTGTGCGAAGGAATAACCTTGAGAATAGAAGATGTTGAGAGGTTGACAAGCAGGGGAGACCCAGCTTTGAATGGTGTCGGGTTCTGAGGGGAAATGAAGACGAGGAACGCTGGGGGCTAAAAGGCTGCTTGACCGTTGGACCAGTGGAAGTAACGGAAATGACCATTGAAAAAGCATGTCCAAAGTTCATGGATTACGAGTATACCTCTCAACTCCTGTAAGGAATACCTCTCGGCTATCGAGCTTCGATACATGTAAATCAGATATTGAGATCGTTTCGCCCTGGTTAAGAAGCGAGATATCATGAGATTCTTCAAGATCAAACAAAGACAGAACCTGGCCGGTTTGCTCATCAAGATAGAGATGAACTGACAGATCAAACTCATGTCACTGAACTGTCCACTCAGCCCAGTTCAAACATCGTACCACGAACGAGTGGTCTCGTCAAATTGCGTGGACAGAAAAGCTACCTTTCGAGTCGTTGAAAACCGCGGCATTGGATCCTGGTTCCTAGTCTCTCCCAACTGATAGGTTGGGACATCGTCCTCGTTTCTGATACTACCTATCCACCAGTCAAAAACCACCAGTGAGTGACGATGTCCTGAAGGTGGGGCTGATGAAGACGTGCACCGCTGGCGGGGTGAAATTTAGCGCGGCTGGGCTAACATTCAAGCGTCTCGTGGCCCTGAACTAACTGCAGCAGGCGCTGAAAGTACCTGCAATGTACTCTCGTACCTTCAGGCCCATCACCCGTCCCGCCCGGGGCCACAGCCAACTTTCCCCAAAGTGGAAGTAAACAATTGGGGAGGTGGCTCCTCATGGTGCTTCCTTGCACTCACTCCTTCTTGTTCGCTACCTCGACCTGGTCTTCTCTGCCTCTGCCTCCGCCTCCGCTCTCCATCTTCATCTCCACCAACGACCGCCGAGCCATTTTTCTCCTGTGTCTTCCTCCTTTCCTCGTAACTCTCGACATCCTGGTTTTTTTCCCTCGTTTCGCTTGTCCGTCCCTGACCTGACCGACTCGCCGTACAAACCTTCAGTACCTGCACGAAGTTGGAGCAAGTAGGGCTTTGTCATTTTGTATCACAAGCGGTCGCTTCTGTTTCGTTGCTCTTTGTCCGATACTTTTTGCAACGTCCGTTTTTTTGTACTCAGGATCCTCGAGTAGATCCAATCCCCTGTACTCCCGATTTTGTCTTGCGTGAGTCCTGTCTTGTCCAACCTCGTTTCCCTTTGCCGTAACCCAGCCCCAGCCACTCGGGAACGGGAGTTTTTGTCGACTCTCAATCCTCTCTTCTCACCTTCAGTGGCTTTGAGAGGTTGCTGTTCATTGTGTCGAAACATGTGGATGGCATTGGCTGACCCATTCGTAGTTCCAATCACACTAAATAGCCTTAATGGCTTCCTCGAGACTCCCCTAAACAATCGATTTCGTCTGCGTTCGCGACTCCAAAAACTCCATAGTCCGAGGGGCCAATATTAGAACAAAACCTACTCGAGCTGACAGTCGAGAATGAGCGGTCCCCCTCCGCCGCCTCCGCCTCATGGCGGAGTGCCAAAGGGTTCTGGCTTGCCTCCGGGAAAATATGACATCTTCGTTATTCCCGAGCACTCCTCTGGAGGCGGATTCTTGTACCTACCATCCATGCAACCGAATGTGAACAGTTTCGCAGCTGGATTCGCTTCAGCTCTGATCCTCGTGGTCCTTGGCCAGACTTTGGCGCCTGCTTTCCGTACGTGGTGGGAGGGCTTCCATGGATTAGGAAACATGGCAATGGCAATGCTGGTTGTGGGCGTTGGCTTCGGTGCATGGGCTCTTGGTCGTTTCCAAAATCAGGATAAGGGGTTTCCAGGTACTGGAGGTGGTTTTAGCGGCCCAGGAAATTCTGGCCGTGATAACCAAGGCGGATGGAGTTCGGGCTTCCGTTCAGCAAATGCTGGAGCGCCCCCTCCTCCTCCCCCTCATGGCACTCCTCCTCCACCACCTCCTCATCATGATACACCCCCAAGGCCACCGCCTCATGATGGTCCCAAGACATCTTGGCATGACTCGCCACATTCAGAACGGCCCCCTCCTCCTCCGCAGCCAGAGCCTCAACCCACTTCGCGAGATGAACCCGAGCCACCTCGACCACCTCCTCAGGCTCGCCCACCTCAACCACAGACGCCTCCTGAGACGCCACCCCCGAAACCGAAATCGAAGAAGTCCAGATCCAAACCAAAAGACCCTCCAAGAGATCCTCCAAGAGAGCCGTCACCTCCACCAAAGCCTCGCGCTGAGAGCCCCCCTCCTCCACCAAAGCCCAAAGCTAAACCGGAACCCAAGCCTGAACCCAAACCAGAGCCAGAGGCAGAACCAGAGCCGGCTCCTGCACCCAAAGCTGAAAAGTCTGAGCGTGAAAAGCAAAAGGGTTCATGGGAAAAGGCCCGCGAGGAGATGAGGAAGAAGGAAGAAGAGCGCAAAGTCAGGGAAGCCGAGCAAAAACGACGTGAAGAGGCCGCAAAGAGACTTGCTGAGCTAAGGGCGAAGGACGCTAAGGAACGACAAGAAAGAGAGAAAGAGAGGCAGCGCAAGGAGCAAGAGGCTCGTGATAAGAAGGAGCGCCTCGAAGCTGAACAGCGGGCCAAGGAACTTGCCATCAAGCTTGAGGAAGAGCGAAGAGAACGGGAACGCCTGGAGAAGGAAGCTAAGGAAGCCCGTGAGCGAGAAGCACAACGAGAAAAGGAGGCTCGCGAACTTGAGGAGAGGAAGAAAAGGGAAGCCGAAGAGCGCGAAGCAAGACGAAAGAAGTTTGCCGCTGAACGAGAGGCTTTGAGGAAGAAGGAGGCCGAGGAGGCTAAGCGACGAGAAGAAGAGAAGAAACAAAAGGAGCTGGAGAAACAGCGAGAGCAGGAGAGATTAGAGAAGGAGAAGGCTGAGAAGGAGAGGATCGAGAGAGAAAAGGCCGAGAAAGAAAAGGCTGAAAAGGAACAGGCTGAAAGAGAAAGAGCTGCAAGGGAAACTGCTGATCGACAACGTATGAGTTATGCCTACTCAGGCGTTGGCGAGAAGATCAGCATGTGGCCCAACGGTCGCCCACCGGCCGCACCCAAGTCAACAACCTCTTCTACTTCCAAGCCCCCTCCAAGCGCCGCTTCTTCTCAACGAAAACCTGGTCCTGTTCCGTCTGCCGCCAAGTCCAACGTTTCTGGTGTCAGCACGGAGAACTCGTATCGGCCCTACGACAAGCCCAAGCAGCAACCGAAGCGTAGAGGCTCTGTATCTTCGCTTGGTTCTGAATCGTCGTGGGCGGCATCGCAGACTACTGGTCGAACAACGCCGCCCCTTTCGACACGTGCTGGTCCCTATTCAACCAAGGATCCTGACAAGATTGTCATCTCAGGTGTTTACCTTTTCATGAACCAATTCTCCAAGACGCCCGCTAGCCAGCTTATCTCGGGTGTGGGAACTGTGACCGACGGACTGATCCTCCGTGTGACAACCGAAGGCCTTTTTATCGATGATGACGTCCGAAATGTACCACAGCGGGAATGGGACGTCAAAACTTGGACGCTGAAACAAGTAGAGGTATGGTGCCCCCCGCATTGCTTGAAATCGCCTGCTGCTTCTTCCCCCGCCCCCGGTACCAAACCGAACCCTTTGCTTTACAAAATGGCCTCGTCTCGAGCACGCGATCGTGGAGCAACTCAACCTCTCGTAGGTGAAGAAGCCGACGTTTACCTGACCGAGATGCTGCGCGCATGCAAAACTTGTTGTCGCCTTGGTTTATGCAATCGTACATTTCGAGATACTAACATTACGTCTTCGACTGGCCAGACTGGAGAGTGGAAATCCAAAGGCCTTCACCTACTACGGGCCACGAACCGAGAAGGAAAACGATACCTGTTCGTTATCGACGAGTCGGAGAGCTGGAAGATTACCACCGGGCTCCAGCGTCTTCGAAAGAGCCCTCTTGCCCAACAGCTTGCAGTCAGCGGCATGGCAGCTTCAGATGCTCGAGGAACTCTCGAGATGCTGGGCTGGGCCTAATAAGACCTTTGCAGAGTACATACTCGCTTCGGTACATAACTTTTGGGTTAGACGGTACCAATACAGAAGGAAGAAGAATAGAAGTGTAGAAAGTGGCGGAGAGCGCAAGGATTTATGGGGAGCCAGGAAAGCCAGCGGTTACCTGGGAGAAAAACGATGGAGTGCAGCATTTGGGGCGACATGGTTGTTGGAATGTCAGTGAATTGCATAGCAAGACAGGAGTACGGGGCAATGCGGATCTGGGTTTGACTGACTGGGCTGGCCAACTCTGCGAGGGCGTCTGCTCGAGGTCAGCCCAGGCGTTTATGTTTTGTTGCGAGCATTCTGATTCTGTTCATCATACCCCTTTGGCATCTTTGAAAGATTGGATCAAGGATAGACTTTACGATGAAAGACATGACCATAATAAAAGGACTTTAATCTCTCAATTCTCCAGTTGCATGTCAACAAGTGACAAATGTTATCTCTATAGGGTAATCCCTCCCTCTCTGCCTCAAGACACGCAATTTTAATTGCAGCAGGTGATAGAAGTATAGCTCAGAGTAAGCACTGTGTTTTCACATGGGTTATTAAGGCCTTTCATCTTAAGATTGGTTGTATGTCAATATTATTTGCCGCTGTATGCAAATTCTTGCGTTGTTATCGTCTTCGAGTCTTTGGAATGCTTTAACCTACTCAATGCACCAAACACAGACTCTTGACTCTCTCTCAATCTCGTCACAAGAACCAAATAACAATTGATAACATTCTAGCTCTTTTTAAAGTAGAAATATTTCTATCCCTCCACGTTATATGCAATTTGGATGAGATGATGGGGTTGCTGCTTGTTGGACGTTGGCTGATGGCGTGCCAAATTGGTCATGTGATGCGACCTTTGTCAGGCCTGTTCATAGTGAACAACGCAACCTCGTGGTGAGTCTCATTGTGATCCTTCAACAACGTAGTAATCGAAGTCTTCTTGGAACGAAATGGAGACAATTTATGTTGTCTTCGGCCTTTTGGCTCTGTTCATGATTGCTCAGGTAAGCAAACTAGCTCACTAATCAATTGCAACCACCAAAACTCACTCATCTTCAGGCTGTATTCGCGGATCGTTCGCCCATCCCCGAGACATCCGGCAAAGTCTACAAGATCTCCGCCCCGTCAGAGCTCGACTCAGTGCTCGCATCAAACACACACGTCGTGGTTGATTTCTACGCAGACTGGTGTCCGCCGTGCCGCGCTATCGCGCCTGTATTCTCAAACCTAGCAGACGCTCACGCCTCAGAGGGACAACTTGCTTTTGCCAAGGTCAACACTGACCACGTGAAGGACGTCGCGGCAAAGTATGGGATTAGTGCTATGCCGACTTTTGTGTTCTTTGAGAATGGGATTGCGAAGGGTGTGCAGGTTGAGGGGGTGAAGAGCAGGGCTGTTGCGTTTACGAAGGATGGCAGGGTTGATAGGATTAGGGGCGCGGATCGGGGGGCGCTTGAGGCTGTTGTTAAGGCTTTGGCTAGTGAGAAGTGATCGACTTGAGGGATCGAGTAGGGGTTTAGGTCCCGATGTTGAACGTCACATGAGGATACTGGCTCAAGTAAAGAGTTGATGATGAAGCATCACACTATCTTCCATTGCTACCAAATGATAGGCCACTTCCCGCACATTCTTCAACCTCTCATTTCATAGTAACAACAATCTTCTTGGCCGATACACCAGAATCAAGAGTGTCCAAAGCAGACTGAAGGCTCCCAAGCCCATGGCCAACAATCTCTGCCTCAGGTGCCGGCACAAAACTTCCACTTTCCAACGCCTCCGAGATGTAATCATTAAAGATCCACGAGGCAAGATCTTTATCAGTCGCCAGAGGAACGACAAACTTGGTCTCAACGCCATCAGGGACTGGGAATCGCGGTACCATTGTAAGCGGGACAAGCTTGCAGTTGTCTGGTGAGCTCAGGGCTACAGCTGCACAAGCTTCCACGATTGAAGGATAGACTGAGACGTTCAAGCCGCCATTGGCTATAGCTCCGGCCACGACCTTTCCTTTAACTTCGGCGAGGAGATCTTGTTTGATGGTTGGGGAGTTGTAGTCAAAGGTCTGGCTGGCCCCGAGCTTCTTGAGGTAGTCAAAGTTCTTGGGGGAGGCGGTGGTTATGACCTCGAAACCAGCTGCTTTTGCAAGTTGAATGATGTTACAGCCAACACTCGTAGATCCACCCCAGACGAGAATGACTTTTCCATTGGCTTTAGTCTCTGCAGTAGGGAGGTCAAGCGCAAGGTAGTCAGGATGGAACAAAGTCTTGACAGCGACACTCAAACAAAGCGGAAGCACAGCTGCCTCTGCAAACCCAATGTTATCTGGGAGTTTGGCACAAAGATACTCTTTCACAGGAACATACTCCTGAAAGGTACCCATGTTATAGCCAATCACACGGTCGCCGACCTTGTACTTGGTGATTCTAGAGCCAATAGCTGTGATGCGTCCCGCAACATCACAGCCGAGAATAGCTGGGAACTTGAGCCATGGGAAGATGGAGGGTCCAAGTTTCTGCTGAGCTGAATCGACAGGATTGAGAGCTACTGCATGGTTCTCGATGATGATCTCGTCATCTTTGGGCTCTGGGTATGGTGCTGGCTTCACCTCGAGAGGTGCCTTTTCAGCGACGAGATATGCAGCGTTGTTTGCACTCATGATGGGTTTGAGAAGTAATTGTTTGGTGGTTACTGGATTAATGTCTACAAACTACGGATACCCTATTCTTTTATATAGTATCTTCTTTATCCGACAATGAATACTTGAAATGTTGATGAATATGTCCATGACGATTGTGTAGTTGGGTTTATATGAGTGAATACGAGACGAGGTTAGCGCAGGATGAATGAATGTACGACATCGGATATAAGTTGCCCAAAATCCGTAGACGCCGCCAAGACCACATTCATTTGATAGATGACGGTACTCATGCAACGAGATTCAGCTCTAGGTAGATAGTCGGTAATAATGGAGATAACGATGTTTCTATGTAGCTTTAGCAGGTAGGAGATCTCTGTGTCTCCGAGGCACTTCGACATTGTTAAGTTGACCAATCACAACTTTGATAAATTGACGGTGAGATATGATCATCTGGGAAAGGAGATATGTGTCACAAAAATGAACTTTGAAACCCTTTAGAAGCGCTGTTGAACATGGTGAGTTTACTCACTGAGACACACTCCCTCTCAACGGAGACAAGGCAGCGTCGAGGGAGGGTTTGGGAAGTGGTTCTTGATCAAGTAGAGGCTATTTAAACCCCTCTAGACTTTTCATTCATGACATGGATATCAAGTGGAAAATAGACTCTTATGTATTGCGAGTCTCGTTTGTCAGAGTACACCTGGGCCGAGACCTGTATAGAGCTTGATTATAGGGAGATTATTGATAGTTCTTCAAGTAAGGTAGTCAGGCGGCAGATCGAGCTGCGAAACCTACAGAACGACTTTTCAAGTATAAGAGAATAATAAGATAGATGCTGGAACTCAAGATGCCCAGTCTCAATAGCGATTGATCGGTTGGCTTCGGTTCGGTCGACGGACTCGGATCGGCCCCACATCTCTCCTCCGTTGAACAGCTCCGACCGAACTGATCCGGGTGAGAAGATAGCTCAGTATCGGCGATATCAATCATATAAGACAATTTGATAGAAAATTAAGGTAGAATAGATTGGTTAACGAAATGGTAAATTGGTATGTCCATTTCTCACGATGACCTGCCCTTTCAGCAACCCGAGAAACCTCTTTGACGACCTCGCCACAGCCCGAGAAACACCAAGTATAGAATACAGCGAGAAACTCGGAGGCTATGTCATCTCTCGGTACGACGATATAGTCTCAGTTCTAGACAATCCCGGTGTTTTCAGCTCAAGACACACTGTACCCGATTTCCCACCACAAGTCAAGCAAATCTTTGCAAACAAGGTCCCGGAAAGGGGAACTCTGCTTGCGTATGACAACCCTGATCATGATAGGCTGCGAAAGAGCGTAGCATCTTTCTTCGTGCCTAGAAGACTAGAGCGTTTTGAGCCTTTGTTAAGAGCAACAGCTCATGATCTGATAGACGGATTTGTGGAAAAGGGTTGTGTTGATATCAAGAGCAACTTTGCACTTCCATTACCCCTACGGACTATCGTTATAGTTGCTGGTCTCGACCCATCGCGATGGCAATGGATTGGGAGATGTCTTTCTCTATTTGGAGGAATTACTCAGACGAACGAGGAGTTGAGCATTGAGCAGCGAGTTCAAGATGTGTTGGATCTCCACGAATATGTCGCCCAAGTCATCCAAGAGCGCAAGAAAGACCGGAGAGACGATCTGATCAGCCATATCTGGAATGAGAGAGATGCTGGGGTAGTCGAGATGACAGACTATGAGCATCTCAGCATGATCCCAGGACTTCTCTTGGCTGGACATGAAACAACCACCAATCTTCTCTCAATGGGGATATCTCATCTACTACACCACGATCTATGTGACACCGCCACAAAAGACGAAGAGGCGAGAAAAACCGCGATTGAAGAACTTCTTCGATACGAGTCTGCCATAACAGGAATGGAACGTCTCGTTAAAGAAGAGTCCAAGATCGGAGATCACACTGTCCAACCTGGCGAGAAACTCTTCGTTGCATATAATTCCGGAAGTCGAGACACCACAAAATTCGAGAACCCCAATAGACTGGATTTCAATAGACAGCATAAACACCAGCACCTTGGCTTTGGACGAGGCATTCATGCTTGTCTTGGTGCACCTTTTGCGCGGCTCCTTCTACGAACTGAACTTGCGGTGCTGAAGGAGAGACTACCGAACTTGAGGCTCAAGACACCATATGAAGAGATTCAGTACTGTAAGGTTCATGCTGGCCGTGGGCCAGAAAGCGTCGAGATCCAATGGGATGTGCCATCTTTGGATGAGATGCGTGTTAATGTTGGACGAGCCAATGTCAATCCCACGCTTCGGGCTTCTGCAAAGACAGAAGAGTTGGAGGTGGTCGTTAAAAATGTCGAGAAAGTTACAGAGAGGATCATCCGCCTGACACTATGTCCCAAAGATAGTGGGAAGGTCCCGAAGTGGTCGCCCGGATCACATATCGACGTCCAAGCTGGCACTATCGGCTATCGCCAATATTCTATATGCTCAAAGCCCTCTGACGATCAGCACATGCAAATAGCGGTACTTCGAGAAAATGATACTGGTGCCTCGAATTGGATACACCGGAATGCCATTAAAGGGAGCCAGATGTTAATTCGGGGACCGCGTAACCACTTCAGTCTCGAGTTTGGGTCCCGCAAGACAATATTCATCGCGGGGGGCATTGGAATCACCCCGATTATGCCAATGGCCGAAGCTGCGAAAGAGACTGGCGTTGACTACTCTATTCTGTACCTTGGCCGATCGAAGAACAGCCTTGCATTTGTGAATGAGTTGACAGAAGAGCATGGCGACCGCTTCACACTGTGGGCCAGCCAAGATCAAGGCGGGAATAGATTTGGCCTAAAATCCTACCTGCAGCAAGAAGATCTCAGAGATCTGCGAGTTTACTGTTGCGGTCCAGAGGCACTCCTCACAGGGGTCGAAGAAGCCCTGGCAGACACACCACCAGGAGTTCTACGACTCGAGCGCTTCGCTGCACATAACACTGAAAAGAAGAGGCCAAATACTTCATTCGACGTGATCTTGGCCCGAAGTAACAAGGTTCTACGAGTGCCAAAAGATAAATCAGTTCTGGAGGTGATCAACGAAGCAGGCGCTGGAGTGCTCTCGACATGTAGTACTGGAGTATGTGGAACCTGTGAAGTAAGGGTTCTGGATGGGCTTGTTGACCATCGAGATGTTGTTCTGACGCATTCTGAGAAAGCGGAGGGGAAGAGTATGATGCCGTGTGTTTCGAGATGTCTAGGGAAGAAGTTGACATTGGATCTTTGGTAAAGATAGTCTCCGGGTAATGAAGGGTTTAGAAATAAATCGAAACATAGTGAATGGCGGTGGATGTGATTGTAGTGTTACTAAGAGAGAACAAAACAGTGAGTCTAAGGTCCTAAAGCGCATTAAACATTGGTATGTAACGTCAACGATTCATCGACCATACGTTGACAGGAGACCCGCCAGTCAGCTGGCAATGAACAGGCCTCAAGGCTTAAATAGAAAGAGTCACAGTCGTGCTGACACTTGAGGCCAGATTATGGAGAAGCTTGTGGTAGGGCAGACAGTCTCTGGTCACGGAAGAGCGCAAAACGTTTGTTCAGAGCATCTCAGTTTTGGCCCATTAGGAATTTGATCTAGACTAGATTGCATAACTCCGAATCTCTCATATATCCAGTCCTCAGTCAGAGGTCGTGGTACCCTTTCGAGCCTCCCTTTCAGCAACATAAGCACGCCACTTGGGGTTCCAGATACAGACAGGGATACCCAGCAAGAAGATACCACCAAATAATCCAGCCAAGACGCCAAAAGCCCATTTATACCCGTGCTCCTCAATCATAGGAGTCAATCCATAGGTAACACCGAAAGAGATGATGTTCTTGGTACCGACGACAGTGACGAGCGCAGGACCAGGATGCTTGGGAGCTGCCTCAGAAGCAAAAGTTGTCGAGATGATGATGACTGCTGTGAATGAATACTGGAAGATGGTCCAGCCGAGGTAAGGTCCCCACCAAGTTGCACCACCACCGGCAGTGAAGCCATAGAGGAGAAGCATACCCACGCCGACAACAGCTGGAGGAGCCATGGTGATGAGGTGGTGCTCAGGCTGGTGAATACCTCGGTTTCGACGAGCCATCCAGAGAACGAAGGGATTGGCAAGGAATGTGCAGTAGAGCATGCCCAGAACAGCTCCAACGACTCCGCCAACGTTGATCAAACCAATGTCCTTAGCTTCCCAGTGATAGTACTGCATGAGGACTTGGTTGTATGTCAAGGACATACCAACACCACAGCCCAGAGCGATTGAGGATGTGAGGACGGCGTATAAGATACCAGGTGAGGAGAACGAGGCGAGCATGTACTTCCAGCTTAGCAGGATGACACGCAATGGTTGAGAAGATGGCGTAGACCAAGGTCGGAGGCGCTCAACATATGCCTTGCGCTCAATATCCTGAGCAGGGTTTCCAGCATTAGGCGCTGTCAATCCCGATCTCGACATCTCCTCCAGATAAGCCTGAGCTTCAGAATCAGGAATGACCTTTGTGACTCCAAACTCATCAGTGATGACAAGCTGACCATCGAGCGAGGAAGCTGGACGAGTAAACTGAGTCTCAAAGCCAAGCAAGAAAGCAATGATCAAACCGACTCCCACTGTGATGGTAAATACCCAATAGTACCACCTCCAACCGAGATCAGCGTTGATGTATGAAGATGCTAAGTTGAGAGAGGATGAAATAGCGTTTTGAACCATCCAGTAGAGTCCAAAGATGAAGGCTCGTTCGTGGAGGAATGTTACTTCTGTGAGCATCAGGGGAAGAAGAGACTCTGAAGCACCTGTTGCGATACCCTGAAGAATGCGTGAGACGAGATGGCCATAGTAGCTGTTTTGAGTAGCTGCTGCGATGCTGGCGGCGAGAAGAACGACCACGGAGATGAGGAAGATGGGTCGACGGCCATAAGCAAGCGACAAAGGGAGGATGATGTAGTTTCCTGACACTGTTAGTGACCCCACGAGAATAGCTGCAAGATAAACATACCAAGTCCAATGAACAAGGTCGGCAGTGTAATAAGCAACACAACCTGATCCGAACTAAACCCCTTGGGAATATACATCTCAAAGAAGACATTCAAGATAGCTCCCAGCCCTGAAGCGACTGAGAGTCCCATAACAGAGAACCAACAGCAGCAAAAGACAAGGCCATATTTCTCCCACGGCTTAAAATTTAAAGGATCATTAGGATCCGACGACGGCACGGGAATCTTTCGAATCTCGCCCTGTCTGTTAACGAGAAGAGCGTTTCCCTCAATGTGACCGCCATCATGAGCTGTGTGTGCCTTTTTCTCGTCCTCGATGTGGTCTGCTGAAGCGACTGTTGCGAGATCTGGGAAATCTGACTTCTCGGCCATGGTGAAGTTGAGGACTGGCTTAGAGGCTGAGATTGAGGCTCATTGAGGCTCTTTATAAAGTGAGATGTTAGAGGGCTTGGCTAGTGTTAGGTCCGTTGATCGGGGGAGTCTGGACCAAGTTGGATGGAGTTGTTCCCCCACACTCCCGTTCCGGGGAATCGGTTCGGAAACATATTTTTCGGTTCTTAGGCCATAATAACGTGGGGTTTAAATACAGTCACTTGATTGACATGCGCGGCTCTGGTACTTTGGCTATTGCGGAGTAGATAGACTGTAATACATTCAACGAATTGTAATAAACTGGCCTTGGTCCGGCTAGTATCTAGATGCCTTAACTCACTTCCTAATGTCTTGAACCAAGAGCTCTCGAAGCTAGACCAAACCGAGTATACCATCAACAAGTTGACCAGAATGAATGCTGTTTTGGCTAGCAATATATGGTCAAATCGAATTAGATCATACCCGTGAGCTTTAATTCTTGAGGCTGAAACTCAATCGCAGATTTTCGTATAAAACGAACCGAAGTCCGTTGGTAATAAATCCCTGTCTGTTGGTCGAACCCACTCCTCCACTTCCCCGATCTCACCCCGCATCCCCATATTGCTTGCCCCAGATTTCAGTTTGTCAACATCTTAACTAACAAAAGCTCCATCAAAGAGGCCCAATTATCTTTGCCCAAAGCTCAAATAACAGCATTATACACGTGAATGTAGCCAGAGCTTCCGTGACTACTCTGCTGAGAGGCCAATCTTCGCCATGGCTATCAACGCGTCCGAGCATAGGCAAGCCAGTGACGAAGAATATCATGTATCCAAAAGTTCCAACTTTCATCATACGATCTCTCTTTTCATAAAGGAACGCGTCTGAGAGAAGAGGGCTAGCCATGAAGAAGGTTTCTCCGAGCGCAACGACGTATGAAAGAGCCAGCACTACAAAGACACGTCCAATACGTCCAGGTTGTAGTCGACGAACAATTTTGCGCTCTGCAACTAGCAAGAAAGTGAAGTAACTCATAAAGTATGCATGTGTGAGCGGATACAAGAACAAAGGAACTTCACCGCCCGTCCGACCAGCAACAGCAGAGCTGAAATTCACTTTGTTGTTGAACATGTATCGCATGCCCATGAGATCGAAGAAGTAGTGAGAGATGAAGTATGTTCCAGTGAAGACTATGGTGGATACCCATAGGTTGAGCTTTACCCAGTATCGGCGGTACCATGGACGACCACCGGACTTTGACAAGAGTGCTGGGAGAAGGATAGAGGGCAAGGCAACGGTGATAGAGAAGAGCATATAATCAACGTCGTTCCAGCTGTGAATGATGCCGCTCAACATGACGAATGCTACGGCGATGACCCAGAAAGGGCTTTGGGCCAGGATCAGACCCTCTGTCCATCTTTTGTCGGCTTCAAGATATTGAGCAGAGATTTGGTTCTTGTTAGGAGATGTTGACATGGCTTATGTGCCGTTATGGCGGTCTTGATTCTCGTATTAGGCGCACATGAATTATAAGAGCTGAGTTGAAGTTGGGAGAATGTCAGATTTGGATTTAACCGCCAAACCTCACTGCTTTTACCCGATATAACCTTACAGTCAGAGTGCCCAGGCTCATCTGTTCACATACCACACTAATAAAGTTATTGAGTCACTCAACCAAGCCTTAGCCCGCAACATGAGTTTAATAATTACATCAAATTATTATACTTAATATTTAACCATTTTGTTGAAGTTTGGTTTTGAATGTCAACATCATGCCCTGGTCTCACGCCTGCGTAACGTTATGTGATGATACCCATTATTTTGACCGGGATCCATCGTCTTATATGATGACAAATCCGTCCGACAACACCTCTTCCACACAATACATCGCTTCTTGATAACAAAAGTTACTTATTGTTTAAGTCTTCCAGTTATCTGCTTCTACTATGACCCATTTCAACGGAATACCAGATACCTACACCACCAGATGGAACACTCACTCGACCCCTATCAATAGCTCTGCGAACAGGAGTCTTTCAACACAAACAAGAAAATACAATACATCTTGTGACAGATGTCGAAAGTCTCGTGTTAAATGCTCAGGAGGTGTCCCTTGTCGACGATGTGCTTCGTCCTCAGGATTACCATGCGTTTACAGCTTGTCTCAGCGGCGTGGGAAGAAACGAGCATGTGCTAGCAATGTGTTTTCAGTATCGAACGGGCTACCTTCTATGGAGATCACTCCATCAGATCTTGACATGGCTGTATTTGATCCGGAGCTTGCACCAACAATCGAGCCTCAGAACATAGACCCCAACGTATGTGATCTACAAACGAGACTTGAAACAGGCATACTGACTTGAATAGTTGTTCAATGATGTGCTGGGGTTTGATCAGAATCTTTCAGAGCAAGATGCAGGACCCATCTCTGGAACTTCAGGCAGTGCAAACTCTCCATCCCTAACAGACATAGTGGACGCTCTGGACTCTCAGCCTCCCTCCTTTTGTCTCAAGCCAATATCAAAGTGTCCCAAAGCGTGTTATGCAGACATACACGACATGAGTGGAATCGTGGATGCTATAACGAAGAACCCAGGACAGACGCCGCTCGAAGAGATTCTATCATTGTTTCAGACCGCCTTCCACCAGTCTGCACAATACCTTGCCTGTCAGAATTGTGACACCGGCTGCCTTCGCTACATCAATCTCGTCATGCTTCATCAACGACAGGTCAACCTTCTCAGCGAACTTGTAGAAGACCCAAGAGAATATCTCAGGAGCGACATGGCGAGTACTACGCTGGGAGGGTTTCAGCCCTCTAAACAGGATGACATTGCGATAAAGCAGTTGATGGTCAGACAGGCGACGAGAGACGTTATACTTTCGGTTAATGCTGACCATGAAAGTGCCACGGGGTTTCAAGAGAGGTCTATAGCGGGGACATTAGATCTGAGTGACACGGGCAAGCTTAATGTGAAGTGGCTAGTAGAGGTTTCAGAGAACCTCCAAAGAACTCTTGAACACGTAAACGTTTTGTTGGAGAAGGACGATTGGGCTACCAAGTTGCTAGATACATGACACTGTATAGATATAGTGAAAGACCCGATAGACATTCGAGCAGCCTTCTTGGCCATAGTCAGACAGTATCTGCGAAGCCCAGACAGGGGCAGAGTATTCCCATAAAATCGCTGTATTCTATCAATTGCAAAGGTTAAAATGGATATTTAAACGCCAAGACAACCTTGGCTCTCAGGAAGATATAGGGGTACTAGTCAAATCGCATATCGTACTTCTTGCGCAGAGTCTCGCCGTAGCGCCAGAACAGAAGAGGTGCGATAGACACTATAATGGCAATGAATCCAAGAAGTGAGTTCCCCTAGGAGACTTGTCAGTATAGGATGAGGGAAATTCATGGAAGAACTCACCCATCCATAACCAAGAGCAGAGTACAGCGGTAGTCCAGCGATTGGAAGACACCCACCTACCATACTACGTATGACACTTGTAGCAGCCAGAGCGCTTGCCGCATAGGTTGTGAAAGCATCGATCATGTAAATCTGAGTGGGGAGCTGCTGCGCGTCAGTGAGAAAACAATGAAAAGAAATCGTTTCTTACAAATGAGAATATCGGTCCGGCCCCTGAGAATCCCGTGAAGATGATTGGAACTATCCAGTGAACCTCATACTCTGCCGTCCAGCCGTATACGAAAAGCCCGATGGGAAGAAGTGGTATTCCAAGGATAATTGGAAGTAATCGATATCTGAACGGTTAGCGGTGTTCGTTGTTTTTGAATACATCCTTACTCAGGCTTAGACTCTCCGTATTTCTTGGTAAGGCGGTCTTGAAGCCAGTCACTCAGCCAGGAGAGAACCACCAATGCAACAATACAGCCGATTCCTACCCCAAGGAAAGCGAGTCCAAGTATATCAATGTCAAACCCGTACTGGTCTGTGAACACGGTGGAAAAAGTGGTAAAGAAAAGATATAGGTAGCCATATATCAATGCGAGATATAGGGAGAGGCCAGTGACGATAGGGCTGCGGATCAACATTCGCATCGGTCTCATAAGAGCTCGGAATAGTACTTGGCTGACTTTCGGTGCTTCTTTATTGAGGATCATGTCTGTGTCCTTGGATCGTTTTCGCTGGATCTTAGGGTGGTGGGATTCGGTGAGGAAGAAGAAGGTCACGATCGTGAGGACTCCTTTCTAAATACCAATGGTTAGCACTGAGCGTTGAACATGAGATTGCACTTACAAAGATGGCCATGATCCAGAACACCCATCTCCATCCAAGGTCCTTCGCAACGAAGCCACCTATTACAGGTCTGTTATAATGGTTAGCGCCTCGGTTTTTGGTCGATAGAGTAACCCTACCCAATCACAGGGCCCAAGAAGTAACCAGTGAAGAATATCGACATCACAAAACCTCTTTTCGGAAGCTCGACCTGATCTGCAATACTGCCACCACCAATATTCATCGGCCCAGCACCAAAACTCCCAGAAATGAACCGAAAGACAATAAACGTGGCGATATTTGGTGCAAGAGCACTACCAATCGAAAAGCCAAGCGTGACAACATTACATATATTGAGCAGTAGGCGACGACCATAAATCTCTGACAGCGGTGACAGAAGCACAGGGCCGAAAGCAAAACCAAGAACAAAGATTGAAACGACGAGAGATGTCACAGGTGGTCGAGTTTCGTGGAAGTCTTTTTTCAGAAGAGGAACGCCTGGGACGATGACGGACGATTCCAAGGGACTGATATGAAAGAATGAGATGTCGAAGATATGCGATATTGGGGCAGACTTACGTGATAGAACCCAGGATAGACACGATCCCCAAGTTTAGTGCTTTCCTCCATGTGTTCCAATTCTGAGGATTCTCATGATCTCGTTCCCAAGGGGTTGGGATGTCTGGCTGTTGCTTCTCAGCGTCCGATTCGGTCGACATTTTTGCACAAGGATGAGAACCAGATAAAGTACGGCAATACTAATACCATATATATTGTGAAATACTCCTCTGGCTTTAATAAACATATTCGCTTTATTTTCTACTAATTTTCAGACAATTCGTAATGCCGTCGAACAAATCATCGTTCGCTTTACGAAAACTACCCGATTAGGAAATCTGGCACCTCGCTCAGCGACGACTGGGTCATGTTATGCAGCTCATCGGAGTTTAGTAAGCTTTATCGAACCACAAAACGAGCTTAGACAAGGGTAAATAGCTGAATATGTCATTTTCGTCTTCAATGCCGGGGAATCTCACGTTTCAACGTTACGTTAATAGTCGGAGATTATGTATCACTCCACCTCGCTCAGCGATGTTCAACCCATGATGATATAAGTGACTAACAACACCGAAAGAGCCCCATCTTCGGGATAGACTATATATAATCCTCCAAAGTGTACCTAGATCGAATCACAAGTTCAATAGAATTAAAAGAATATATCATCTCGCCTTTTATACGACAAATACAATGTCAGAAGTTTATACCCAAGTTCAACTCAGCGACGGAGCCAAGCTCAACGTCTGCCTCCTCGGGGCCGAGAACAAGTCAAAGCCCCTGATAATCTCTCTCCATGGGGCTCCGGGACTCTCGTCACACACCGGCATCAAAGAGGACTTCAAGTTTCTCGCAGACAGGTTTCGCGTTCTCGTGTACGATCTTCGAGGCAGTGGAGACAGTGAGGTCAAGGGCCCTTTTAAGGATGAGCAGTGGATCTCAGATCTTGAAGAGCTCAGGTAAGTGGCGATTGAGCGTGTGTCTGAATAATAGTGGTTAATTTTATTTACAGAGTTTGGGCAGGAGACGAAAAGTTCATACTTGCTGGAGGATCATACGGTGGCTTCCTTTCACTGAACTACGCCCTCAACTACCCAAACCGTCTCCTAGCCTTGATCCTTCGCAACACCTGGGCATCTGGTCCCCAAGGCACACATCGTGCCCTAGCAAACATTCTCCTATCCGACCGCATCAATCCCGATCCCATGCGCCAAGTAAGGCTCTGGACTGGCAACGTGCAAAGTCAGGAAGATGCAGAACAAGGCATGGCCGAGATTGTCACCATCTACACCGCTGAGAGTAGCCTGGTGCCTGAATCATTCGAAGGTGCGAGTTCCGAACTTCGCTGGGAGGTTCACAACGCTGCATTTTCCTGGTCACAGCCTCGTTTTGATGTGAGGTCCAGGCTGGTTGAGATCAACGTTCCGACCTTGGTGGTAGTTGGAAGGCTTGACATCATTTGTCCTGTTGAAGAGTCTGAGATGATCCAGAGGCGTATTAAGGATAGTGAGCTTGTTGTTTTCGAGAAGTCAGCTCATAATCCTGCTACTGATGAGCCGGAGAAGTTTCGTGGGGTTCTCTCCGACTTCCTTGGAAGGCTTGGGTGGTAACTGGGTTTATAGTTCTGGTGTTTATGTCTGATTTAACGTAGGAAAGAAAGTTTTGGAGGCCATCATTCATTAATTGGGACCGATTTCCGAGATTGCATCCTTCCATGGCTGTTATCGCACAGTTTTATGCCTATGCGATCCAGTCGAAGACTCGATCTGCCAAGGTACACTACGCCGATAAGCCCTTGTCACCTGCCCATAATGCATACACATGAAACCTGCTTGAGCAAATCTTTTAATTGACTGTCCTTACTATAAAAACTCAGCGTTAATTGTACGTGCGAAGCTGTTGTCCTCCCATTGCAACTGATAGACACCCCTGAGCAGCTCATCTGGCCTCCCTCCGGCGAGGACCGTACCAGATTGCCTGAAGATTTATGTTGCCGTTCTCCAGAAAACGTCCGCATTTCCTTTTGATCAATCTCCATGCTGAGTTGTGTATCGACTTGCGCGAATGCTCCATCGTTGCCCTGTCAGAGTACATCATGACATGAATCTCCACTGATTTGAGAATTTGGTCTCTAGGATCTTTGCGATAGCTTGACTGGATGTAGCTGATAATAGCACCTAATATACGCTCCAATGTATAATCTGGAACGTCAAGATGAATGGTTTCGAGGCTGCGAGGCACGAAGCTCAGTATTAGCTGATCATCCGCAATGGGCTCCTCGTGCGTTGGACGGAAAATGCTGTCAAGCCACATGCGCATATAAGTGACGTTAGTAAGTCGCCTTCCTGCTGTAAACTCGTGTGGCAGGAAAGGTGCCAATACTTTCAGCCATTTCAAAGTATTCTTTCTGATAGCCAGAGCCTAGCAGACATCTTGTATGGAACAAGGATCGGGCCCATCTAGGGAACCTTGGTACTGAAAGGATTCCAAAGGCCCTGTAGCAGATATGAAGACTTTGAGTCCTTCCAAGCCGAGATCTACACCCAAAAGGCGGACATGGCGCATGTTCCGAAGCCGTAATGGATCTTGCAGTGTTGAGAAAGAAGGGCTTCTGAGCTCCATAAACTGTAGGTACGGAAGTTCTGACATGAATCCTCCAATAGAGTCTCTTGACAAGCCTAGGGGATTGCGAATGGTAGGGGGTTTTGGGTGCCTGTTTCTAACTTCAATGCTTTTCAGAAACTGAGGAAATTTGGATCTGTGGAGAGCAAAAGGCTTTCTGAACTTGGTAAGGAGCTCATGTAAATGACTAGCTTCCGCCATGAGAAACTCAAGGTTCGGCAATCGAAGGAGAAGAGCTGCTCCGATGAATTGTTCCCATTTCAAGGTCTTGGGGTCAAACCTTCTTCCATGGAAGTCAAGAATGTTGGAAAATTTGTCCAAACACTTAAACAGCCAACCTCCCTTAATGATAATATTAGTAGAGAAGATATGCGTTAATCTGGCTTGCTTGACTAGCTTGGCTAGTTCTGGTTTCTCGTAAAGAGTCCTGCAGAAAGGAATCATAGCCTCCGGGCTGAACTCATAGAAGCCAAAATGATGGTGAAGGGTTTTTTGCGCTATGTAACCCCAGCTCTTACAGACTGTGGAGAGACTGATCAGATCATATCGAAGGGCTTTTGCATCGTAGTCTTCGAGAGTCACAGCGGGGCCACCCTGGCGATGGTCATATTCATCGTGGCAATGCAGACAGAAGGTCTCGCATATTATGTATATGATCGCTGGGTCGAGGTTTTGTAGATCCATGGTGTGTAATTGGAGAGTAAAGTGATTTGTGATAGACAACATGTAAGTTTGGTGGATTCTTTAGACACTTTATAACGAGACTTCTCAGACCGTGTGATGAGTAAATGCACTCCGTCCCTGTACAATGAATCAGGCTCAGTAAGATGGCATCATGATTCAGTTCGTGGATTTTTGGGGTTGAGCAGACATACTGTGTCAACATAGAGTGTTATTCGTTGTCAGCCGCAGCTGTTAACATTCTCTTCCTAACCTCACAGGAGCTTTTCACCTATGAGTCAATCACTCGTTAACCAGCCTATTACTGTGACTATCTGTCTGATAGTCGCTTCAGACATTGACGAAACTTTGTGAATAGAGAGTTAGACGCCCGGAATTCGACTTTCCATTCGCGATCAAGGGGTAGTGAAGACAAACTGAGCCTCCACAATACAATACGAAAAGTCACATTCACGAGTGCACACCTCTCAGATTTTTGTCTATTTATAAATCTTATATCTGCTTAAAAAGCCAAAATCACTATCAAGGAACATGAAGCTCAAAAGCGCAGCATCTCTAAGTGGAAAACGCAGTCACATCGATGAACAGATTCAAGTACAAGCTCTTGACCACGAAATAATTGGCCATTCACTAATGATACTATAAATGCTCAACTACCCGAAAAAATTATCCTTCGGCCATTATTCTATATTCTACTAGAACAGTTTCAAAAGGGATTAGGCATCTTGTTGAGTCAACCTAATCAGAGACAAACATTCCAAGCCCGGTCGCACACTTGAGATACACAGTTATCTTTCCGTGTCTGCGGAAATTCTGGCATCTCTTCTTGAGGTCTTCCCAAAATGATCTGGCCACAGCTATAGGGAACTCTGGAGACTCTCTGTCGATGGTCGTCAGAACCCGTACATTGACATGCCGCAGCACTTGGTCATCTGTTTGATCTCGACAAGCCGATACTATATAGTTAACAAGAGCATCCACGATTCCTAGAACCATATCATCCGGGATGTCGAGCCATAGGTAAGAGAGTCGGGGTGGAAATATGCCCAGTAGGGCGTGTTCCTCCAAGATTGGTTCAGCTGCAGTTGGATACCAGAAACCTTGGAAGTGGAATCTCATATAGCCAACATTGACCAGGTGCTTCCCTGCTGTGAATTGCTGGGCTTTGCGTGAAGTTTCCAAACGCAACGTTTTCAAGCTACGTTCTTTGCATACCAGAAGCTCGCATATATCTTGAGGGGTGAGACATATACGTTCAGAGTGACATAGTCCATAATACTGAAACTTCTCCAATGGCCCTGCTGCAGAAAGTAATAGTCGAAGTTCTCTCCGGCTGAAAGCACTGTCATACAAGCACAAGTCTCGTAAGCCAAGAAGATTTAGTCGGTCTGGGATTGACTGTGGATCGGGATTAAATAATCCCAGAGCCCAAATATTTGGATTGACTGATAAAAGCCCTCCCATTGAGGCATAGGATAGATCCAAGAACACAGCAGAACTAGTTTCATTTGCGATTGGCGAAGTCGTGATCCATATATATTTGAGATATTGAGGAAGAACGCAGTGCGTTCCGATAAAGAATGTGTGGAACGTTTTCATAATCTCGTTCAAGTGTTTGTTCTGTGCTGAGAGCTCTTCGAGATTTGGGACTTGAAGCAGAATAAGGGGGGCGATGAAGTCTCCCCATTTTGAGATATCTGGCATTATGGATGCTTCTGGGAACTTGAGAACTTCTGAGAACTTGTTTAATGACTTCTTGAGCCATTCTTCATCGAGACTCCAGCCGTATGTAGAGAGTTGTCTTAAACATATATACTTGACATGCTTGCCAAGCTCCGGATTCTCAGAAAGAGTCCTGCAAAATAAGAACTCTGCTTTTTGATGATTTTCGAAGAAGCCAAAATGATGATGTAATACCTTCTGTGCGATATACCCCCATCTTTTGCAGACCAGTGAGAGATTAAAGATTGTCTGGCGGCGTTCCTTAGCCGCAAGAGGGGGCGGTATCTCTCCCGTACTGCATGCACTCGGCCAATCCTTATCAAAATTTTGGCAATGGGGACATATACTCTCGCAGATGAGAAATATAATCTCCCGATGGAGGTTCTGTATAAGCATCTTCATTGCTTTCCGATATATGATAATGGGCGGTCTGGTGAGTTCTAAGAGCTTGAGTTGAGCAAGGCTAAACCGAGAGGGAACTGGGCCTTTTATAGTCCAAAAATGAGCTGAATAACTGGAAGTTGCGAACAGTTTCTCTAGGCCATGCACTGTTTCTCACTCAAGTCTCTCCTTGTATCACCACAGTGGTGCACCGCCTGTGATCAACATGCGCTGATTGTCGTCATGAAGCACTGTCGGCGTGGGCTTCCTCTATGAACTGGCCGCCGATCACCCGCCAGCAAGCTGTTTGCATTGTAGTTATCTTTCCCCTTCATTCTGAAATAATGTTGGTAGCATAATAGCTCTAGCTATAAGCCCTACATAGAGACAGTTTCTGCTGGCATCAGTAACCAAACAGCACCCAAAAACGTCTGTGACCCTGTCTACTGATGCTTCCTGATCTGCCAACGCTGGGTTTTCTTGCAATGTAGCACCAATGGTAGCCTGTGACTAACCGTAACCCGGAATCTTGATACTGTGGAACTTGGTCACATGGCTATCCCCTATGAAGTTACAGTCTTGTGCATGCTTTTGTGTTGTGTGTAGAGTTTGGATTTAGGCTAGACGTCAGAACATGCCAGGGCAATGTCATGTCTTGGGGATTTGTATTCTCACCGTGTGTCCGCCAATTAACAATCTCAATCGCTTACACCCGTCTTACTGTCAGTTTCTGTGTAGGCAGGTTTCTGAAGAACTGGAACAAATTCAGGTTATATTCATGCCAAATATTGTATTAAATAGCTTTATTAGCAGGGTAGATGAGATCGAAAACAGCATTTCCAAGTTCTATTGGACTAAAACGAGCATCTCTACATAGAAAAATGCGGCAACATTGTGTTTTCACCGACTTCGTCGCAGCTATACCATGAAAACGGTGCTACCGTTGTACTTATACACCCGTTTTCAAGCCATAACGAACCACACTCTCTGCGGAGTGATTCCTCTTCTTCTGCGGTCGTTGGCCGTACAACAGGCATTACCCACGGGGCTGGATTTGGATAGGCTTTGTCTATAAAATGTAGAATCACCTCTCTTAGCTTTTGCTCCTGCGGAGGTTCTCTGTAGGTAGACGATATGTAAGACCCCAAAGCCTCTCGATATCGAGGTGCGTCCGTGTGGCTATGGTCGAGGCATAGCGTCTGTAGGTTCGGTGGGAACACATTGAGCAGGGCATCCTTTGCGAGATCTTGGGTGTTGCGTCTCAGGGTGGAGATATCGCACAATACTCCTGCGTTGACTCGTAACTGTTGCAGCTTGACTAGCTGAGCCATGGCAGTAGGTGGCCGCTCTGAGCTGTACATCTTCAGGACAACTCTCTTGAGTGTATCTTTCATGGGTAAAAGCATCTCAAAGATCTCCTGAGATGTAACAAATCTGGTTCTGGAGGTCTGCGACCAACCCGTGTCGTCAACTTCCCTATAAACGAACTCTTCCAGTTTTCCTGTGTTGTTGATGAGGCTCTGCAGCCCGCTCTTCGACATGCACGCATTACCAATCCAGCGCCTGCGCAGCTTCTGAAGTGGGAGTTTCTCTGGGAGACTTCCAAATTTAGGTCGCGATATGGAAAGCGTCTGGAGGTTCTCCAGCATTATGAGAAGTCCCCCTAAAGTATGTAGATATGTTTGAACCTGTGGTGACAGATCCCAGATGGAGGATATTTCCTGCTGCCCGACCGAAAGAGACTCGAGCTTCTGAGACAAAGCTTTGTTCCGTATGACGGCTTCCATACAGAATCTTTGGAAGATGATCGGATTATAAAGGCCGTGAACGACGAGATGCTTGAGGTTGGTAGCCCGAAGTAGAATAATCGGTGCGATGAATTCTCCCAAAGAGACAACAGAGCTCTGCAAGTAGAGCGGCTTTATCCCAAACAAGCACATATACCTAGCCATGGATTCCTTAAACCAACGCTGGTTAGAAAACTCTTGGTTGACGCCTACGTGTAGCCCGAGGATGGCCACTTGAAACTGCTTGCTCAATTCTGGATTCTCGCAAATTGTCCTGCAGAAAAGAATCTGCCGCAGATCATCTGAATGTTTGAAGTAGTGATGAAGAATGTTCTGTGCAACACATCCCCAGCTCTTGCATGTCCTGCTAAGGTTGATGAGGGCCGGGCGGTCCTCATCCTTCTTGTTGGATATGATATGCTCGTGGGAGACGGAATGTTTGTCCTGACAATGTAGACAGAAATGCTCGAAAATCTGATACAAGATCTCTGTCGGGAGTGCTGGGCTTTCCCACATGACGGGCTATATCGGATATGCCTCGATTTTGTTTCTTCGGTATCTCAATAAGCTAACTCAGGGATGAAATATGTGTGTCTCTGGCTGACGCCTCGGTAAGCCAGAAAAGATGTCGGAACTTTGGCTGGTAGTATGATAAATGGCTAGAGAAGCTGCAAAGCTTTTGCTAAACGCGAAGTTCCTAGTGGCCAAGTCTTTTGTTGCGTGTAACTGATGGGTTGAGCTTTCCTACGTCCTTTTGTAAGGCTATGGTTCAAGTGGTGCTGGTCGTTGGAGTTATTGATGGATGGTTAATACAAGTCAGGATGAGTATGAAGAAGAAGGACCGTGGGGGGGCCGTGGGAGGGCTCGTGACGAGACTTTATAGGCAGATTGAACAAGCTTTGATACAAGATTAAGTGTTGTTGAGGTGAAGTTTGTATGTGATTTGGTGAAAGGCTATCAATGTGACCAACTGTATTCTACGCCTCGTAACTGTATCACCTAATGTTATCTCCTGATTTGCCGATTACTGTTTGACTTTGCAAAGTTTCTACATCAGAACACTGATGTGGCGTTTCTCAACTTTGTTACCCCCTGGATCCATTCAGCTTGAGGGATTTCAAAAGTCAAAACTGAGGCTATCTCACCACCGCATCCACCGAAAATGTATTTAAATAATTGAAGAAATTAATTTTGAGTATGTAAATACTTGCTGTTGAGAGCCTGGCATATGCTCTTACAACCAACGATGTTGAATATCTGAGAAACAGTAACAATTTCTATACGCCCATGTTAAACAAACGCCCATCCAGTCAAAAACACATCTATGCAGCTCGTTTACAATCTGGTCATCCTAGGGTATCAGACTTTTCACCTCCTTTCAAAAATATCTTGAACCTCAACAACGCCATCCATTCTTCCAAGAACCAAAACCTTAGCATCCTCATCAAAAGCCCCAGACATTACCATCTCCTCCGTAACCTCATCGTACACAATCGTTCCCGTCGCAACATCCATGATGTCGAAGCCATCTTCAGTTCTGCAGAGCATGTATCGGCAATCGGGTGAGATCGCAATGGGCCATCCCTCACTGGGTCGCACCGCGTTGAGGTTGTAGGACGTCAAGTCGTTGGCGGATGGGATCCAGATGTGGACACTTGTCCCCCAGACTGAGACGATGCGTCGACCATCGGGACTGACTGCTAGAGCGCGGGGGTTGTTTGAGCCGTCAATCTCGAGACGGCGAATTGTCTTGCAAGTCTTGGTGTTGGTGATGCGCAGCGTTCCATCGCGTGAGATAGTGACGAGGCTTTGGTCGGGGAGGAAAGCAGCGTGAGTAACTGCGTCGATGTGGCTCAGGACCTTTCCGACTCGGACTCCGTTCTTCACGTCCCAAACTCCAATGCGATTCCTCGCTTCACCGACTGCAATGAGTCTCCCATCACGGCTCCAAGCAATAGGCTCGCCCTTAGCCTCCTTGAGTTCACAGGCCGTCTTTCCACTGACATAGTCCCTCAGGAAGACAGTGCTAGAGTGGTGAAAGTCGAAGCCTCCTGTAAACTGAACGGTCCAGTCCCTAATAGTAGCCAGCTTCGCGCCATTGGGTGAGAAGACAGCGCGCGAGCCGCTGGTCTTGGAGTAGCCGCTCTGGGTCTTGATGTCAAAGACGTCGATCCAGGACTGAGAAGTTTGCGCAGCAGTGTAGATCGCAAAGACAGCTGATGTAGCAGGGGAGATGCCTACTGAGGCGATCTCTGCCTTGCTACAGGAGCGGCTGAAGCGACGCGTGATTTCCATGAGTGCTGTTGGGTCTCTTGCACTTAAAGACTGAGATCTTGGTGATGAAGTTGAAGGAGATGCAGATGATTGTCCCCTGTAGTATCGTTAGTCGGAAGCTCGAGGTTGAAAGGGGCTGGACTTACATGACGTTGACGATAATGGATAGTCAATAGAGAGTGAACAAATGTGGAGAGGGTATCCAAAAGTTTTATAAAATCTTGATACGATTGTATTGTTTGTAGTATTGTTCTGTAGAGTGTACTTTGAAGGTATCGCCAAACTTCCAAGAAACCGGCGATCACCTTGATCTTTAAACAAACCGCGAAGCCCACCACGATGACTCCTCCCTGCAACTAAGCACACCGAATCTTACAGATTGCTAATCACATCTCTCGATTTGGCGAGGCTCAAAAGCGACTTCGTTAGAAAATTTCACATTATTCTCAGCATGTAGTGAAAAAGGCTGAAGACATGTAGCGGTAGGGGTGAGTCACTAGTAACACCCGCCGGTCGCCGCAGGAGATACACGGAGCAGAATTCGGCGTGGCAGAATTAGGGATAGTGTTGATGACATGGGTGCCGGCCTCGTTATTTTTGGACGTGAAGAGGGAATCGGAGGTTGTAAGAATGAGACTCAGCGGGTTCATGATAGCCCGCATCTTGGCATTGTATGCAATGACTGACTCTAAGATCAGTTACTCTTACGGACAGTCAATCACTTCAATTGCGCTTATAGCTCATCTTCACAGCTCTTGGATCTTCATTGTGTCGTGAAAAGATGAGATGGGGACCCCCACAACCCCATGAGTTGCGATGCGGGGAGTATAAGTGAAAATGGTCTAGCCTTCTGGGCCAAAAACTCCAAAACGAGACTACGTGATGGCCCATTAGAAAGCAGAAATGGAATCATTGATTATAAAATCACTGCTTTGTAAATACTCGCTATTCATTCAGCTCATGAACTAGAGTTACAATTGCGTCCGATCACGGAGAGAGACAATGGATAGATTTCATCATGTTTAATTCATCATTTCATTTAGACATGATCGCATAGATCATACCATACTTATTCGTCATTCCGACCCATCAAGGTGTCTTTGATGCGCGCCAACAAGAGCATTCAGCTCCACCATTAACTCATTCATAACTCCCAATGCTACTCCCAACAAACTCCTTCTTTTTATTTTTCACATTCCCACACGCTTAAGCACCAAAGGCCTCCTCATAGTTGGTCATGCAAGATCGGTAGCGAACAGAGCTCGTCTTCAGAGCCTCCATGGCCTGCTGGAGACCCTCCTTGGAGATAGGAATCTCCTCAATCCACGACTTGAGGCCCTTGTCAGCAGCGAGCTGCAACATCTCGAGCATCTCACGTCGGCTGCCCAAGTGCGATGTTCCGATGTAGCAACCGTTGGTGATGAAGTCCTGGTTGCGGATGGAGATACCATCGCCACCGGGAAGACCAACAGAGTTCCAGTGGCCGTGCACATCGAGAAGGCTTAGGTACTCGCTGAGAGCAAAGCCCTCGAAAGAAGTGGCAGTGTTGATGATGATGTCGAAGGACATCTCGTGGCCCTTGGTCCAGTCCTTCTCACCAGTGGCCAGGAAGCCATCGGCACCCATCTTGCGAGCGTCGGCCTCCTTGGCTCGTGAACGGGAGATGGCCCAGACTTCAGCACCAAGAGCCTTGGCGAAGATGACACCGTAGTGGCCAAGACCACCGATACCAACGATACCGACCTTCTTGCCGGGTCCGGCGCCGAGACGCTTCAGTGGGCTGTAGACGGTGATACCGGCGCAGAGCATGGGAGCAGCTTGGGTGCTGGAGAGGGCTTCGGGGATGGGGTAGACCCTATGAATTGTAAGTCAGTGAGATCAATTGGGTGGGCGAGCGTACTCACCAGTACTCATGCACTCGGCTGTGAGAAGAGTAACCACCCTGGGTCTTGAAACCAGTATCGAGGTAATCAGCGCCATAGGCGTCAATCTGGTGCTTACAGTAGGTCTCATTGTCATTCTTGCACTGATGGCACTCAAGACACGACCAAACCTGGGCACCAGCACCGACACGGTCACCGACCTTGGCGAGAGTGACCTTATCACCAACACGGAGAACCTTGCCAACAACCTCGTGGCCTACAGCGAGGGGATAAGGGCAACCGCCCCAGTCGCCGCTGATGGTGTGACGATCACTGGCGCAGACACCGCAGCACTCGACCTTGATGTCGACATCGTACTCGCCAAAGGGACGGGGTTCAAACGAGTTCTTCTGGAAGTCGGTCCAGTGCTCGGCGCTGGGGGACTGAAAGCCCTGGAACTTGTCGGGAACAGACATGATGATTATGGAAGTGTGAGTGCTGAGATGGCGAGAAAGAGAGAGTAAAGCAATTGAGAACAAGTCAATTGGGGCTTCTCTTCCTTTATAAAGCTCATCTCATGACGACGAGCCGACCAGAAACCCCCACTCGTCGAAACAACCTCAGAGCTCACCCCTCATCGCGTTGACTACCGTATCCGTTACGTGTGAGGGGCACTTTTTTTCTCTGCTACCACCCCTCCGTCATGAAAGATCATCTGATTCGAGTAAGCGACGCGGTTTGGGGGAGGAATTGAAGTGTCGCATTGAGAGATTGGGGGTCGTTTCGGGACGCTATGCCCGAATTGCACACAGGCGACATGCGATAGCCGATAGCCGATGTGGACATGTCATTGGTTGAGGCGCCATCATGACTCTTGACATGAAGCTCGGATTATTCGTGGGCCGCCGGAGTCTGAATTCCTCCACCAAGAATCGTGGGGGATGAGGTAGCATGAGAGGAGCTGCATTGGCGATCTGTGAGGAGGTGGCTCAAGATGTATTTTATAGTTCCATTTGTCCTGATGGGGGTATCCTTTCATACGGGCATCATTTGTTCTAGACCTTGCTATATCATGTCTTGTCAAGGCGTAGTCAAGTTATATCCAAGTTGTTCCTCCTCATGACCACAAATTCGGGCACTCCAAACCGAAATCTCGCAGACCTAAATACCGAACCTCGCTATAACCGTCCGACAAGCTCACTGCTTCTTCCAATCCTTCTTCTTCAAAGCCCTCGATTCTCCCAGTCCAATTCCCAGCAGAAAGCTCACTCTCATAGTCATACCAAGATACACAAACGGCACATTCCCCCAATCACTAGCATTCCACGCCATGACGTCCCAATAGATACTCGACCCAAGCTCACTCATCGAAAACAAGTGTCCCAGATCCGCAATAAGTAGTACAAGCAGGACCGTCCTCCAAACCCGCAAATCCGCTGTAGATCGCAGCACGAGCGCTTCGTTGAGCGCAAAGAAGAAGAACATATTGGCGAGCTGCGACATGGCTACAGATGTAGCCTTTCCTGTTTCTGCTGGTGCTGAAGCAGCATGGAGGAGGTTCAGGTAAGTTCCTTGGCGGAAGTGAGTGTAGAAAGCACCGGTGAGGGCAGAGATGGGTTCAAGAATGAGGAAGAAGATGCGGTAGATGGGATGGATGCGGAAAGCCACCTGAGAGGGCCTCGGGGTTGGTGTGGCCATGATGAAGGTGAGTTGATGTGATCGCGGAAGATGAATTGTGTGTTTGATATGTTGCTACGTGGTGATAGTGAACAAACTCTCAGAAACTTCAGTATGGATCCTTGACGCGGGAAAAACTTGATCCACTGTCTTCCCCACGACAGCCCTGCAGCATTAAACTCTAGAAGGGCTGCATCCTGAGACAAAGTTGAAGATTGCTGGAATTGAGATGCAATATTGGATATTTTAGCTTGAGACCTATTAATCTACGAGTTATAGCACTTGTCTTGCCCGAGCAATTATCGACCCTTAAGCTGAGTGTTCCGTAGGGTAGCCATGACGTCCAGACTCTGGACACTTCGACCAAACTGTAGAGGTCTAGACCTTCGAGACTTAAAGCTTCAGAGTGAAGTCAATCTGGGCTCATATAAATCCAGATCAACCCAAATGGAGAATTTCCTAGTCGTGGCTGACTGGTTCCATGGAACCGGTATCGGAATGTCCGGTTCACCAATTGTAAGCCCAGGTGAAGTTCTCCTGAACGAGTTGTCGATCACTTCCTCCAATCCGTCAGATTTTTTCGTTCTAGGTTTCAAGGACTGATGTACGCCAATCCATTTGCAAACTGTTCCAGGCTTGAACTATCTACCCGTAGAGGGACAACAATGTCAATGGAACTACAGAATCAGGGTCTTCAGCCCGTGTGGATGAGATCAGTCAGTAAGCCCAGCCAAATCCGGGGTTGCTTTGGGGGATTAGCTTGTTTGGGGTGTTGATCCAGACCCCTGGAAGGTCTGGATGCATTGAGTTGCACTGCGTGGGTTCTCGAAGTAACGCTGTTGTTGTGGTGAATCGATGTTACACAGCCATTGGCCGTTGGAGGTCTGGTCAATAGGGATCAACGGTGTTGATATGAAGGCCCAACATTGCTGCTACTTTGCAATCACAGTTCTTGCGGCATTGTTGCATTACTCAGTACCTGCAGTTTTTTCTACCGAGAAGAATCAGCACCGGGAATAAGAATACGGAAAGTTTGCATCGCCACTTTGAGTTTCTTTCGCCCTGTTTGGTAGTGTTGGCTGAGGACGGCTGATGGAGGGGCGGCTAGCGACAGATGCTACTGCTACCGTGTTCAAGGGACCTCACCGCTACAGATTAAAAAAGCAAAGAGAGTTTTTACCGTCATAATCTTTAGCCTCTAAACATCTTCAACGACGTAAGGTAGTATGAGCTTGTTCAGAGACCGGACCGAGGAAAAAGAGAATCGCGGGCCCCGAGAAAAACTGGAACCGTACGATCCACCTCCGCTCGATAATAATAAATCAAGAAATCGTTGTCCTTCCCGCATTCCCAAGACTTCCTTCTGGGGCAGCACTAGCTCACAAGTGCATGTCATCGTGTACTGTCAATGGCGTTAAGCATGACTTGGGGACCAGTCGCCTTACATCACCGCCAAGGGTCGTTTAGTATCGTGACTCGCCCTATGGGGCACTAGCTTTTGTTAAGAGATACTTTTGATGTCTTCCCTTTTGTAGATGGCACCCTCTCCTTCTTTTATTCCCCTGATCATCCCGTTCTTCTGACTCGTCTTGTCGTGTTGTGCTGTGCTGTACGTAACTACAGTGAAGACCCAATCAGGGACCCCCTGTTCCTCCAGATCCCTTCAGTGGCAGTTCAGTTCGCCCTTTAAATCCAAGCCCCCCTGTCTTCCGTTGACTTTACCGGGATTGCTAATCGCAACGGTTTTTTTCTCAAGAAGCCTGCTCTTCCTCCCTCACATCCATCCCCATTCCTTTTCTACTCCTTTTCCTGTTGTTCTTTTTCTGCTTTTCTGTTGGGACAAGCACAGAGCGTTATAACGAGTACTAAACTAAAGAAACCTCCGTCTCTTTTTTTTTTTGAGTTGTCGTGTACCGTTGCCACCCAACACCGAACGACCGACCCAACGCCAGAAACGGGCCCAAAGCAAATCAAGGTTCCGCGAAACTTAAAGGAAGGCCTGAGACCGCCCCTGCGACCAGACCATACCGACCGCCCGATCGTAAACAACAACGACAGAGGTCAAAAACTCCGACGAGCGCATTCATTTAGCTCGTTGTTCTTCACTGCTCGGCTATTTGGTCGACTCGACATTCCTTCATATACGTCGTTGTTCGATTATTTGCGTTTCCAGCTCCGATAGTCCCAGCACAGCCCGCTTGGACTTGATACACGTTCCTTTCTCTAGTTCGACAGTTTTGCTACCACCTCGAATATGACCAAGCGCATTTTCCCCATCAGCGACTGGGCTCCTGCTCAAGAGGCCATGTTGGAATCTCCCGCCGAATCTTCGTGTCTGGGCATCTCGACGCCTGCCCAGACTGCGAACACCACTCTCCACCCTGAAGCAGCCGCAATGTACACAGCTGCCCCCCCTCGAAACCGCAGCATGAGCCTTTCTGTGCCATGGCGACGTCCTAAATCATTTGCTTTTGGTCATGACCATTCTCATTCGCAGCATCTTTCTCGGCATTTTAACGATCTCGCTGTTGACGATACCGAAGACGAGTTCCACGATCTGAATAGCGCCCATCACGAGACCCAGCATCAACACCACTTCCACACTCCAGGTGCCAAACAGATCAAAGGAATGTTTCGCCGCGCTTCACTGTCGATCAACCGAATGGTTCATCGACGACCTTCGATTGCTGAAGATGTCGAACAACCCGAGACTGGTAGACCTACTACTTCATACAACAATGCGCACTCGACTTGGAGTCGTCTTCGACAAGCCACCGTTCGTCGCTCACGATCGATCTATGGATTTGACTTGAAACATGACCAAAACGCCTACAACTACGAGAACTCCTCGCATCTCCCGATTCCCGGTTTTCGTGGCGAGCCACCCGTCATTCCCAGCAACTCTGGAGCTGCTGCTAAGGCCTCAGCTGCTATGCAGAATGAATACCTGGCTCGTCAGGGTCTGTACAACTTTTGGTTGAATCCCAGCACCAACGACGAGAGCAACGATCGTGAGAGCGGAATCGGAATTACAGTGACACTTCCTGGAGCCGAGAGTGAGACTGAGATAGAGCAAAATGCTGCTATTAGCACGATCGACTTTGTCTCTAGACTCCCTGCAGAGCTCGCTATTCATGTCCTCGCAAACCTCGACGCTCCAGCACTCACCAAGGCCAGCATGGTTTGCAAGAACTGGAATAAGATTGTCAGTAACCAGCACATCTGGCGTGAGTCTTGTCTTCGCGAGACTACTACCACTTATGCTACAAGCGAGCCCGTTGCCCCTGGAAGTGGTCTCGGAGTTCCTGCTATTTCACCGGCAAATGACTGGAAGGACATTTACCGTATCAAGCAGGAGTTGAGCCAGCGATGGAAGACTGGTAAGGCTAGACCTGTCTATCTGAATGGACACAAGGATAGCATCTACTGCCTTCAGTTCGACGAGTAAGTTATTCGGTCCTTTTACAAATGTTTTACTAACCTGAAAAGGCACAAAATCATTACTGGTTCCCGCGACAAGACGATTCGGGTCTGGGATATGCATACCCTTGAATGCACCCTCATTATTGGACCGCCCGAGGTCCTCGCCGAACCCGACATGCTCATTGACGAGGATGGCAACCCTACTCATTTCGCTTCAGGATCCTCCGACAACGAGAAGTCAAACTTCTCTATGCCTCGCAGTACATCATTCCCTACACATCACATGGCCTCTATTCTGTGCCTGCAGTATGACGACGAGATCCTGGTCACTGGATCCTCCGACTCTACCTGCATCGTTTACGACGTACGCGACGGATACCGTCCTATTCGCCGACTCCGACACCACACCGCAGCTGTTCTCGATCTTGCCTTTGACGACAAGCATATCGTCACATGCAGCAAGGACTTCAGCATCTGCGTCTGGGATCGCCACACCGGCGACCTGATCAAGCAGCTTCGGGGACACAGCGGACCTGTTAACGCAGTACAGATGCGGGGCAACACCATCGTGTCTTGTTCGGGAGATTTCCGCGTCAAGTTGTGGAACATTGAAACAGGCAAAAATATTCGTGAGTTCACGGGGCACACCAAGGGGCTTGCTTGCTCCCAATTCTCCGAAGATGGCCGATACATTGCATCTGCTGGTAACGACAAAGTTATCCGCATCTGGGATGCCAACACAGGCGAGTGTCTCCGTGAGATGCGCGCCCATGAGAACCTGGTTCGCAGTCTGCACATAGATAGTGTGAGCGGCCGACTGGTCTCTGGAAGCTACGACACCGACATTAAGGTGTGGGACATGGAGACTGGACACCAGCTGCTCGACTTTCCCAAGTGGCACGCAAGCTGGGTTCTGAGTGCGAAGAGCGATTACCGTCGCATTGTCAGCACAGGACAGGACCCCAAGATTTTGATAATGGATTTTGGTGCCGATGTTGATGGTATTGAGAATATCGAGAGTGCCAGACCTCTACAGATCGAGGGAGGGTTTATCTGAGCTCTGAACATGCGGCGGAATAATATGATTGGGGGGATACTAATATGCCAGACGAACACGATTGAACTGGCTTTTACGACTTTATGACATGGAAGGGTTTGCTAGACTGATTTTAAGATGTAAGGCAAGCATTAGGGCATGTTGGATGAACATGCTAGGACATGGATGGTCATGGGCATGGACATGGTGCATGCGTGCAACCTCAGGGAGCACATTTGAGATCGGGCGATGGATCTATCGCTCATGAGGATTACTCGCCAATAGCGTTGATGAGCGATCTGGATCACATAGACTGCGTCTGGAGTTTACATAAATGAATTTACTTAACTATTGCTTTCGAGTCCTGGGGTCTTGTCTTCCGAGTCTCTGATTCTGTGCTTCGTTTCACGACGGACGGTGAATTAATTTGTTTAAGTGGTTACAGGGTTCAAGGCCGATGCGTGAAACAAGGGAGCCCGAGATCCACGGGAACGCGCATCGATATCGAAATGCGGGATGAAAAAGGATGCGGAGTGAAACACATAGCGTGTGATGGATAGAC